AAATACTCGTATCGATTACGTGGTAACCAAAGTGAATCATGTGGTAATCGTAGTAAAAGTGTGCGAAAAGCACAAAGTGTCACGAAGGCGGCGAAACTTTTACAAACATTTATTTTTACTCATATCTGCCTGAGCGAATGTTGATGCTACACTCAACCAATGGCGAATTGGGTCTCAGTCGCAACACACGGACGTGCAATTCGAACTCGAAGCACGACGAAATTAGGTTGCGGACTGCGGTTTGTCGAGGCGACGAAAATATCTCAACTACGACTTGGACGATATACATTTATATTTTCGCCAAGTGGTCGCAAACGTCTTATCGTAATGTTTCACCTATGAATCGTGAGAAAATGTAGATTTTTTCCTCTAGAAAATTGCACCTCGTAAACATAGGAAATCGTCTCATTTATAACCACTTAGGTCCGACATTGTTCGTTTACAATTCGTGTTATCGAAGCACACAAGGTATACATAAAGATAAGCGCGTGTCGCGTTTGTGTTGCAACGTTATCGCCACCGCTGTAGGACCGCAGCTGATGACCTGTGAACCGGCCAACACTTTGTTTTATCTTTATATTCTTTCACGCCACGTAACTGTGTCGGGCCCTTTATCAGCATGCGGGAACTCGGCGTCTCTAACCGAGCAGAACATCCGCCAGACAGGCAACAACCGAAACACAGTAAAGTTTAGAAAACATTTAACTTGGAAGAAAATCTAAGCATCGCAACCCTAGAATACAATCGGATAGAACAAGAAAAGTACTTGCACAATGCACATGTGTGTCACATCTCGGCGAGGATGTGACAAAGTGACAAATAACAACGCTGCCGACATGAATCTTTCGTGTTGAGTCGCGACGCATTTATTTATCGATGTGCCTGGATTTCCAAGAAAACGCCGAGTATTTTAACGTCACTGCAATGCGACTGTGACAAATGTAAAACTGCGTCAAATAGAACAATGGGTGGATTTATTCAGACACCAAAACAAACACAAATACGCTTGGTTTATTCTGGTTGATTGTGATTGTCGACTGATAAAGAAAAATTTACAATAAATCGATTATGCACATTCCATCTGTAAATACATACCCTCAATTCTTATCACATGCACACATTCACACTATATATTCAATAAAATGAATTCAAATAAGGTATTTGCAATTTGATGCGACAAACTGTCATAAACACTGCGATAACAAATCGAAGAAATTTATTACGTTATTTCTGCGCGTTTTGTCCACAATCGGCGGGAGTGCATAGTGCCCTCATCCATCTCCACTGATGGGTCAAGAATTCCCAAATTCCTTCGTTTCCTCGAAGCGGCAACCCGAAGCGAAACAGTTTTATCGGTTTTATTATACGCCGCGCTGCGCCTCTCATAAGTCCATAATGTCTCCGTTTTCTCCAAGCTGTCCCTTGCAAAGCGCGGCAATATACCACCCGACGACCTCACCAGTCACCGCAAACCTATCTGCGCTTTTTCTCTATTTGTATTCTAACATGTGGAAACCGGACCCAATTTCATTTCGTGGGATATCTCGGAAATTTAATACAAACATTTTTGGGGGAAAGCGAAATAAATTTTTGAATTTTCTGCGAATATTTCGCATGAAACAATTATGAATATTAAATTAATACATATTTAACAGTTTAAGTAATATTATGACTGTGATTGGGAGTAAATTGTATGTTTGTGACGCTTTCACATAAAAACCATCGAACCAATTTTGATAAATTTTAGTTTGGAGATAGTTTTGTATTTGGAAAATAAAATAGACTACTTTTTATCGCAGAAAAATAACTTACAGGGTGTTAAATACTTGATAAAAATTAATATGGAGATTTAATCATAGTTATAGTTATATAATTCAAACCTAGATGGCGCTAAAATGCAAAATTAGCATTTCTAACTTCTTTAAAGTGAAATTATGCACATAATAAACACAAGAAACAAGAAATTTCACATTTAGGCTTATTTTTATGAGTATAGACGGTTAAATCACGTGGAAAAGCTACTAAATATATACCCAAAATATGTAGGTATAATACAGTGACAAAACGCCAGATGTTATCGTGGTGGATCTCCGAGGATGGCCCTCAGACTATTTGTCTAGTCTGCAGCAAGTCCTAAATGCGAGGCGTTCGTGTTAGTGTTGGTTTTGATAAGTTAAACTCCAGGCAGTTATCCCAAGTCAAACAGAAAATGTGGCAGCAACGTGTAACAGTCAGAATTATAATATTAGTGGTTGGAGTCGACCAGTCGACGAAGCCAAAGCTGCATTTTGTGTTCGGCTTGAAATTCATGTGACCATATGCCGATAAACCGATCACCGACAGTGGTTAACAATGCAAATGAAAGCAGATTAAAGAGATTAGACGAATCCGGCAACTTTCGGTTTTTCTAATTGTTTCAGCGACTTCAGCACTTTGGAGGCGATTAAATCGATCTGCAGATTTGTTAGGAAAGTAATTTGTGAAAAAAGTGATGATTCGATGGAAACTTTGTAAGAAAATAATATTTCCAGTCGATTAATCCACAATAATTCAATTTGTAACTTTTTTCTTTTAAAAAGTTAAAGAAAATTGCTTAAATTGGGTTAATATTTTTATATAAAGCTAAAAAAGTAATTAAAATGTAATAAAATAGAAGTTAAATCATAAGATTGCAAAAATATTGGTGAAATGGTAGATTGAGAGGTTTTGAGAAAATTGAGATTGAAATTCCAAGTACAAGTCAGCAACTCAGCGACTCCTTCACTCAGTCAGTAGACACATCGAAATTGGAATCCATATTGAATGAAATTCGCGATAGGAACGCGAGATTGAAGCGAGAGCAAAGAAATTGCGAATAAATTTTCTCCAACTGAAATTCACCGCATCAGTAAACAAAATATTTTACCTTTTATGGTATAATTATAAAAATAAAAACAAAAACTTGTAGCGTCACCAATATTAATATGTTATTATTGTACTTATTCCACAGCAGTGTAATTACAATGTGTGCGCATATCATTTAGGCCCTTTGCGAGCATTTATAATCCCCACGTTGCTTTCCCAGTGCATGTTTTAGCGGAAATCGTGAGTCATAGCAATAAACGCCGTAGTGTCGTGTCGTGCGTAGGTAAATTGCAGGTAAGTAGCCGAAGCCGGCACCAGCAAGTCGAGGGTTGTACGGAAAATATGTAAACCAAATAACCACCACCTTGGTCTCCATTGTGCCGCAACCATGACATTAAACTATTTGAGAATTAACTCGAAATCTATAATATAAAAATGAATCGCAAAATCTGTTGGTAAGCGCATAACTCAACAACGCTTAAACTAATTTGGCTAATTTTTTGTTTAAAATATTCGTTAAAGTCCAAGGATGGTTTTACGGCGAGAAAAATCGAATAAGTGCCGGAAAACCCTAAAACACCCTTTTCTATAGAATAAAAGTTAGCATTGAGATTCAATCATAGTTATAGTAAAATTCTTTATATAATTAATTTCTTTAAAAAAGAATTGCGAAACTTCTCAGTGTTTCCAAACAATAATCAAAACGCATATTTTTAATTGAAAATTTCAATGAAAATGCATGCAATTTTCCTGTTTGGAGAAAATTACAAGATACAAATGTATCTAATTATGTCTTCTTGTTCGTAGCAATAGTTTATCGAGCGCAAAAAGTCTCCCAACCAGTTATTACACAAGTACTCGATTGAAGACTATACGCACATCTTTAGCATCTTCTTTTCGACTTCCTCTTGTGTTCGTGTTCTTATTGCACAAGCTCGAATCGCCGTCTAACGCCGATCGAATAACTGTAATATTTTTTTAGGCACAGACCACCGACAAAATTTAATAATGCTAATATATGTCTAGGTGTATCAATCGTCTCTTCTCCGTTTACACACGTCGTAATCAACGATATTAAGAGTTGAATTCAAATTTTAGATTTGCGCTGCACGGAATAACACGAACAATTGCGCGCAGCGCGCAGTTACACAAAGCTCGATTACGCTTTGAAGTCATAAGTACGTTTTAATTATAAAAGCGAAAAGTACGGTTCATTTCGACGTTTTCATTGCAGCATTTTACTCCGGAATTGTGAAGCGCACAAAGCGGAAATAAACTAATTTGCTGCGAAAACTAGAAAAATACATGTCGTATTGATTTTATCCGGAAAAAAAGCACACACGACTGAATTATGTCTCTTCATGCGTGTTTTTGATTATAATTTTATACAAATGTAATATTTTAATGTAATTTATAAATTTACCTTAATTTGTGTTATATTTGTATATTAGCATCCCAAATTGTGCACACTTTTCACAAGTCACTGAATATTGTTGATGATAACGCCGAACAACGACTGAATTAGTATCACTAAACGTAGGTGTATTGAATGAATGTTGTGTCGCGGTGGATGTTATTAGTTAGCACCGTGTTGAATTGTTTCTTTAATTTGTTGTGAGATGAAGCACCAGCAGGAAAATTGCAAACGACTGCCGAGACGAACGGAACAAAGTCAGTTGGCCCCGACGGCCATTTTATCACTGCTTCTTTCGTGCGAGCGAAAACATGTTCTGCTGGATAATATGGAGGGCGCGCGTTGCGCCGCTGTGCTCGAATCCTCTCCCTACGCAAGCTGTACCGATCGTGTCGTGCCAAACAATAACAAACGGATTGCTTCGTTTAGTAGACATATTTTTGCAAAATATTGGCTGGTAAACGAGCAAAATATGAATGAATAACTGATACAATATATAAAACAAATAAATTGTTAAATTTGTTGATTTTGAAATTTAACGCATTGCTTATTTATGCTTCATATTATGTTATTATTTTTTTAATCCCATTTATTCATAATTTATCATTCAATAAACGTTATTTATCTTTAAATTATTAAATTTTTATTAAAATTTGTGCAGAAATCATACCCACAGCGCCATCTATATTCAGGTTGTTCAAACTAAGTAGAACGTCACATTGTCATATGATTGAACTCTTTATTAAACCGGCATTTTTTCAATTAAACTCTTAAATCTATCTAAGACAATAGTATTTGTACAATAACAATGATCTAAATCATAGGGTGGTTCTATGATTAAATGATCCTGAAACTTGAGGGCTTCTCCATCTTCAACAACATCAATTAAATTAAGCTTCAACCAATCTTTGAGTTTTTTCTTCTTTTCTTGGAGATCTTGTATGCTGTAGCTTTGGCACCTCTTTTCACTAAAAATATTTATTTCACCTATGTCCTGTGTGGTATCAATTTGTATGTTCTTGATTGTAGGTGCTGTGATGATAATCAGATCACCAGAACTATGTTCAGTCTTCTGTGTGGTTAGAACCACAGATTTGCTTTCTGGATCCACAACGTAAATATATCCAACGTGGGTTTTGTTGTCCACTGTTTGGATTGTTGCATGTATTCCGATGAATTTTCTTTTCGAGATCTCTTCGGCACTTTTATACATTTTAATTTTGATCACAGAATGTTGAAGATATGACCAATGTATACAAACATGCCAGAGGCAGAAAATGTTGAAATAGTCATGGTAGCGTCATCTGTTAGTGGTTTGCGTAACTTTTGAACCAATTGTATGATTCAAATAATTTTGGCACTTTATTAACAAAATTCGTTATGATTTGTTTATTTTTTATTATGTAATATTATTAGTCCTATAACTACCTACCCGTAACACAACATTCCTAAACGTGGATGATAAGAAATTGTATATTTTATTTCGTTACTAGAATTCGAGACTAATGATTGTCGATGAATCAACATGAATTTGTAAAATGCGTTCAATTTTTTGTTTATTTTGAGTCCCAGAATGATAATGTTTAAAAGCCTGATCAAAATAATAGTCATGATACCATCTGCGCGCTTAGTGGTTATAAAATGATTTGCAAAATAGCACGTACTTGATAGATGATGATGAATGAAATAATCGATAATATTAATCTCAGATTGGAGTATTTTTTAGTTATGCCACCTTTAATATATTAAATTATGTCTGTAATTTATCTTAAATTCCCGCATTCTGAGTCACTACATTCTGAAATAATGATAACAATTTAAAATACTTACTTTACTTAAGTAAATTATACTTGTAAATGCTTATAGATTAAAAAATTGTTTCTTGTTTTTTAACAATGCCATAAATCATTGAGCATAATAGTAGGTAACAGAATTTGTATAATAACATAATTCGGAAAATCTAAAACATTATAAACAAATATTAAAATAAAATAAAAATATATTTGTATCACATGGCAAAACGGCAGTTTTACTCACGAGATTGATTCTGAGCGAACTTAGCGAGCGTTTAATCAATCAAGTGTTTAACATCGTTTACCCACGAGATGCTTACGCTATTTTTCTACTTCCACTCTAGTTTTGCGTTGATGTTTTGTGTTTTGCATTTCACATAGTCTCTGAAAATACTTTAGTCACGGCCTTGCCAGTCCGTGTTTAAAGTCCCACTATTTGTGTCTTAAAACGCTTTAAAGGTGAAAGTAGAAAAATATATGATTTATTTAACATCTCCCTAAAAGTATATTTACCGATAAAACAATTCTATTGTCATGATATATAGCAGATTTTTTTGTGGGTTTCTTATGACTTTATTTAGTTATGCTGATAATGATACACAGATAAATTTATGATGATTTAAATGCCAAGAAAGGAATTTTGTCAAATCATCTTTGTAAAGCATTTCTACAATATTATTCATCACAATTGAAGTAAATAATAAAAGAAAATCCTCTAGTTTATTTTAAGTAACGCACAAACCAGTGATTGAGTTGCGGTACAAGTATCAACCATACCAATTTACACAGTTCTTATAAAAACGCAACCATCCGTTTACTTATGCTTGCCACAAATCAAAAACCTTAAAACTTTAACATTTTTAGAATGAAATATTTAAAACAACGTACAAATATGCAAATAACTGTTTAAAGTTAAAATGCGCATTAACCTTAAAACTTTAAAACCCAAAAACCTAAAAAATACTTTTACTTAAAAAAAGTCGATATACTCATATAAGGTACTAAGAGCATTGCGTATTATCAACGTGACTAGCTTAACCCGTGAAAAAAAAAAAACAATATATAGATACATACATTACACACATTTCTATAGTAGTACCGATGCTGGATTGTTGTGTTTAATGCTCATAATGCTCTTATCTCCAATAATATTCGTTATCGATGAGATGGCATTCTTTCCTGGAGAGTGATAATTAACACGTCAACGATTATCTCACAGATATCAGTGAGAGCTTGGCGCAATTCTGCTTCAGTTCACAAATCGACACCGGCTGGATGGTTGATATCGATATCACTAATTACTAATTATTTCAATTAATTTAGTTCAGTTACTGTGATTCAAGAATTACATTGCGACAAAATTGCAACAATTAAATCAGGTAAGTTTTAAAATAGATTTAAGTCAATTTAAAAACATTTAATCCAAAAATAAGCATAATGTAAGCATCTACAGGTAAAAATACATAAATTAAGTAAACGATAATCGCAAAATCGATTATGTCATTCGTCAACCATGTGACGCAAATGGATCTTTTTCTGTTGGGTGTAAATTTTAACTATTCGGTTGTTCATGTAAGTTTTTATGTTAGTTTGAACGTTTATATTAACGTTGCTAATGGTAACCACCAAATGTAACTTTTACAATGTTTATTATGTCAAACATTTTGTTATTATCTACTTATACATCGAAGAATATCAAAAAGTTAAGTTTTACACACTCTATTCTCTTTTTTACCAAAGAATGTCTTTATTTAATTATGATTGTCTAAACATTTGTAACTATGTTTAGTATGTAAATCGATAAAGTATGTTTATTGATTTTTCGCTAACGTGGGAGCCTCACACAAGTTCAATTTCATTGCTACCCTCAGTACCTCTCGTTTTCGTCATTTGCGTTCACCAACTCGAAGTATTAACAACAACCAAAGTGTCACACGTAGTTCAAAGACCGCGTTTGCAATGTAGCAAAAAATAATTCGCATAACAACCATGGATAACAAGTAATGTTTGCGATGTGAGGTGCAATTTGTTATTTATTTGCGTTAATTTATTATAAACGTCGAAACAATCAATGATAACCGAAGTCACAACGTCGTTATCGATACATCATACATCACATGTGGCAATGACTAGTATTTCTTGGTCGAGACCCAATAACTCGAAATAATTTTATCATCGCACGGCATGCGTCAAGGTACAATTCGGTAAAAGGTTTTAAACTCGTGAATAGAGCTCATCGATTGTGCGTTGTAATCGATATAATTTATTGGGCGATTTCTAGACTCGCTAGATTCGCTAATGGCGCAATTTATCTGCGGCTTATCGCGATTTTTAGGATAAAGCTCTGTCATATTACTCGAGTACTAAATATGTTCGTTTGTTTTTTAGGTGACGCGTACAATTGGTAAACCGTCGAGATGAAGGAAGTGAATTTGGCCACGAAGGGCCCTGACGAAAAGGATGATCCACTCAGTCCGTAAGTACCATAATAGTTTTTATGTAGGCAACACACTTTACATTTTATAGTATAAAACACAGTTTTACGGTTATATTTTTTAAACTACGCAACAGATTTTAGTGTGTTTTTTATTTAAAGACAGAGTAATTAAAGTGGAAAGTTTATATGTGCAATACAAACATATTAAACATATTAAACATATTAAACTTGAAACAGTCGAGAATTTTAACGATTTTAAATGCAAAGTAACGTAAAAACATATTTTTGTGAGTGTTTATTGCAAATATTGGCTAAAGTTTATGAGATAGGTAAAAATAATTTCAGAGAAAATAGTATATCATAAAAAGATCTACAAAAAAAAGTCCATGGTGACATATGTCTATCTTCTAAGGATAACTCACGGTAATCGTTTTTATCATTTTTAAATCGCAAAAGTATTCTATTATTTATAAAACTATTTTAAACAATACAGTATTGTAATATACAGTATACAGTAATAATACAGTAATATACATTTAATGTAGAAGAAATTGTCGTTTACAGCATATCTAAATAATAAATATCTTAAAAGATGTAAGAGTTTTAAAATTCAATAGCAGAACGATTTTGTCTTATTTTATCTACACATAATTACCGTGCAAAACCTAATAATTCTATTAAAATTTTCAGAACTTTTGTGGAAAGTGACGATAAAACGAAAAAAGAGAAGAAAGTTGAAGAATTCCCGCCGGTCCCATATTTCTCACTGGTAAATATACACAATAAAACATTTAAAATCCTTAAATTAAAAACAAATCATTTTCACATACACAGTTTCGCTATGGCACCGCCCTGGACAAATTTTTGATCTTCCTTGGAACAGTATCAGCCGTTGTCACGGCTGTATGCCAGCCGCTGAATATGTTGGTATTTGGTGATTTAACCGGCGACATGATTGAATACGCACAAGCAACTTTGAAATCCGATGCAGACATGGACAAAGCTCGCGATAAACTGGAAGACGCCATCATATGGTTCGTGATTTACAATTGTGCCATTGGTGTAGGCATGTTGGTCTTCAGCTACATATCAACACTTCTGTTTAATTACACCGGTATTCGCCAGAGTTTTCGAATTCGGTCGCTTTATTTGGAGCGTGTACTTAACCAGGATGTCAGTTGGTATGATGTGCATCAATCTGGAGATTTTGCCAGTCGTATGGGAGAGTAAGAGTTAAAACAATCAAATTTAAAAACAAAAAAATCATATTTATTAATTACAGTGACCTGTTGAAATTGGAAGAAGGTATTGGAGAGAAAGTCGTCATGTTTTTGCATTTCCAACTGTCGTTTGTTGGTTGTCTGGTGATGGCGTTGATCAAGGGATGGGAATTGGCATTGATTTGTTTGATCTCTTTACCAGTTACAATGATTTCCATGGGTATTGTTGCATATGTAAGTAAAAATTTACTTCCCTAAAGTAATTTATCTAATTTTGACTGTTTTATTACGCAGTTGACTTCGAAATTATCCAAAAACGAATTGGAAGCCTACGGACAAGCGGGTACCATTGCCGAAGAAGTTTTCAGCATAGTCCGAACAGTCTTGGCGTTTGGTGGTCAAAAAAAGGAACAAGATCGTTATGAAAAACATTTAGTTTTTGCTAGAGACAACAACATTAGACGTTCTATGTTGACCGGTATTGGTTTCGGTATTTTGTGGTTCTGCATCTATGCTAGTTACGCTCTTGCTTTCTGGTATGGCGTGGGTCTTATCATCGATGAAAGAAAAGAAATTGCAGATCCAGAAAAACGCACTTACACACCAGCCAACATGGTTACGGTGTTCTTCAGCGTGATGTCGGGCAGCATGAATTTCGGCATGTCTTCTCCCTACATTGAAGTATTCGGCGTGGCACGTGGTGCGGCCGCTAAAATCTTCGGAGTCATCGACGCCATCCCAAAAATTAACTCCTCCAAAGGCAAGGGTGTACAACCTGATAAATTCGAGGGAAATATCGTCTTTGAAGATATTAAATTTAACTATCCGTCAAGACCTGATGTGGAGGTAATACATTAATTAAATATTTTTTCATAAAAATTAGTGTTAATGTTAATATTTGTAGATTTTGAGAGGTTTGAATTTGACAATCAAAGCTGGTCAGACTGTGGCGTTGGTAGGAAGTTCCGGATGTGGAAAATCAACCTGTATCCAACTGATTCAAAGATTCTACGATCCGGATGTAGGCACTGTGTATTTAGATGGTCAAGATCTGACAACTTTAGATCTATCTCTTTTGAGGAGCAACATTGGCGTGGTTGGACAGGAACCTGTCCTCTTTGGTACCACAATCGCAGAAAACATTCGTTATGGCTACAAATGGGCCACAATGGAAGACATTGAACGTGCAGCAAAGAAATCCAACGCGCATAAGTTTATCTCTGCCCTTCCGGAAGGATACAATACAATGGTGGGCGAACGCGGTGCTCAGCTTTCCGGTGGACAGAAACAACGCATTGCTATTGCGCGTGCGCTTGTTCGGGAACCCAGTATTCTACTTTTGGATGAAGCCACTTCAGCTTTGGACACCAACAGCGAGGCCAAAGTGCAAGCAGCTTTAGATAACGTAAAACACTCATTAATTCAATACAATCTGATAATTAAACGAATTCAATTTGCAGGCGAGTAAGGATTGCACAACCATCATCATTGCTCATCGCTTATCAACCATCCGTGGCGCCAACCGTATTGTCGTGATCAAGGAAGGTCAAGCTGTCGAAGATGGAACACATGCTGAACTCATGGCTCTGCAAAAGGAATACTATCATTTAGTAACAAACCAAGTGGCTACAGTTGACGAAGATGATAATCAAGTTGTTGCTATTGATGAAACTGAAGAAGACGACGTTACGCCTGATCACTCTGGTCCCCGAGAAGTTGAAGAAGAAGATGCTCTTATTAAGGATGTTTCTCTTATGAAGGTCATAAGTTTAAACAAACCAGAATTGCTGCAGATTGTTATCGGTGTTATAGCCTCTGCGTTTATGGGTTTCGCTATGCCAATCTTTGCAGTTCTCTTCGGTGATATTCTCGGTGTGCTGCAATATGAAAACGAAAAGAAAATCCGTGATGAAACTGACATTTACTGTATTTACTTCGTTGCTGCTGGAGTTGGTGCTGGAGTTGCAACATTCTTACAGATTTACATGTTTGGAGACGCTGGCGAAAAGCTTGTGATGCGAATCAGAAGTCAGATGTTTGGCGCGATGTTAAAACAGGAAATTGGATGGTACGATAGGAAAGAGAATGGCGTCGGTGCGCTTTGTGCAAAGTTATCGAGTGAAGCAGCAAACATTCAAGGTGCGACTGGTCAGCGTATTGGTACCATTTTCCAATCGATTGCTACTTTGGCTCTTTCGCTTGGTTTGTCGATGTATTACGAATGGCGTCTGGGATTACTGGCGTTAGCTTTTGCTCCGATTATTATGGTATCTGTATTCCTACAGCAAAAGATGATGATGAATGAAACAGCTGGTTACAGAAAAAGTTTGGAGAATTCGACAAAACTTGCAGTGGAAGCGGTGTCACAAATTAGAACTGTTGCTTCTTTGGGTAACGAATCTACTTTCCATGGAAAATATGTCGAGGAGTTGTTACCGTACATTAAAAAGGCGAAATTCAACACACATTACCGAGCTGGAGTTTTGAGTATTGCCAGAAGTATTATGTTCTTTGCGTTTGCGGCTTGTATGTATTACGGAGGATATCTGATTCGTACAGATGACTTATCATACGAAAAAGTCTTAAAGTAAGTTTAACCTAAAAATTTTCTTTTGTTTTATCTAATTTTGCTGAATCTTTTAGAGTTACACAGTCTTTGATTATGGGTACAATTACAATTGCCAACGCTTTGGCTTTTACACCAAATTTCCAAAAGGGTTTGATGGCTGCATCTAAAGTATTCCAACTGCTGAAAAGAGAACCCAAAGTCCAAGATCCCACTAATCCTATCGTTGCGGATTCATATTATGGCGATATTAACTATTCCTCTATCGAGTTCAAGTACCCAACGCGTCCAGATATGAAAATTCTACGCGGGTTGAATTTGCTCGTGGGGCGTGGTAAGACCATCGCACTTGTGGGTCCCAGCGGCTGTGGAAAGTCCACCATCATTCAATTGATTGAACGATTCTACGATCCTACCTCCGGCACTGTGTCCATTAACAACAAGGATGTGAAATCGATTACTCTCGCTGATTTACGTGCAAATCTGGGTATTGTATCACAAGAACCCAACTTGTTTGATCGTACCATTGGTGAAAACATCGCTTACGGAGATAATTCTCGGAAGTGACCGAAGCGGAAGTTATCGAAGCCGCGAAGCAAGCTAATGTGCACAACTTTATTGTTGGATTGCCTTTGGTAAGTATTAATATATCATCAAGTGATTAATTATTATTTTTAATGAAAATTATGTTTGTGTAGGGTTATAGTACACCTCTGGGTGACAAGGGGACTCAATTATCTGGAGGTCAAAAACAGCGGGTGGCAATTGCACGTGCATTGGTGAGAAACCCACAAATTTTATTGCTTGATGAAGCCACTTCTGCTTTGGACACCGAGAGTGAAAAGGTAAGAATTAATTAATTTAATTGTTTGAATTAACATTAATTACTGACTCTTTTTGTAAACAGATTGTGCAAGAAGCCCTGGACAAAGCGAAAGAAGGACGTACTTGCATTACGATTGCTCATCGTTTGTCCACGATTCAAAACGCAGATGTAATTTGTGTGATTAACGAAGGGGTTGTACATGAATTGGGAACGCATACGCAGCTTCTGGCCCAGAAGGGCATGTACTATAATTTGCACAGAATACAAAATGGCAAACGTTGAATACCCACCATGAGGTTCATATAAAAAGTGATTTGTGATGTTTGTTCCTATTTGCACCAGGTGTGCCAGTGTGCATACTAGTGTATTTGAATGTTTGTGACATATTTATTGTTATGCTATTGTTATAGGTACACATATATAAATATATCTCCTGTAGATAATTGTTTATTGTACATGATTTACATGATTTATACCGACCCTTGAGCGCGATGTGAACCAAAAACTGGGAAGGAGAAGAGTTTAGAAATCGGTAGGCTGTAGCCTACCCGTAAAAAGTGGTGGGGGAAGGTGCGCTTGTTGAGTGGAAAGTTCCAGTGTTCATTTTATTATTTTTTTAAAAGAATATAAATATTCGATGTCAAATCTTAAGTCTATATAATGCTGATATTCTGTTAATCAATTGAATTTCATTGTGTTCATTAAATAATGATTAAAGAGTTATTTTGTGAACGATTGATTCCAAACGTCGTTGGTTTTGTCTGTGGAGAACGTTTGACTCGACCCTTTATGTTCAATAGTTGTATATTCAATATATGTTGAGATAATCATATGATAAAGCAGTAAAACTGCTTCTAAAGTCGATAAACCAAATCCTAGTGAATCATTTCAGTTCCATGCGAAATAAACTACGTAACCCAACTTTAAACAGCTGACTTTGTTTGATATTTTGTGTAGTGGTTTCACCTGTTAACACTTGGCAAAACACATTCATACATATCATGATAACAACCCAATTGCTTTGTTTTCTTTTACTGAATAAACACTAAAACATAAATTCACTAAAATGTCCACGAGTGCACCGTCTAACGCATATTTAGAATTATCTGAAAACCCCGTGCGTTTTGAAGCAGTAAATCAAGTCACAAATGTTTTCTTTGATGACTCAAATAAGCAAGTAAGTAATACATCAAAAATAGTAATTTAAACAATTCTAAACAAAAATAATTTGCAAGGTTTTTGCTGTACGTTCGGGTGGAGTAATGGGCGTTGTGGTGAAAGGTCCAAATGAAAACACAAAACCAATCAACTTTCGAATGGAAGATCATGGGCCAGTTATCTCCATTAAATTCTCTCTGGATCAGAAGATTTTGGCAGTGCAAAGAACAACAACTTCAGTGGAATTCATGAATTTCAATGGCATGACAGTAGAAACAGAGTACAGCCAACAATGCAAGAAAAACTCAGCAATTGTGGGCTTTGTATGGTCACAGAACAATGAAGTTGCATTCATGACTGACCATAGTGTGGAACTCTATCTTGTGATACCAGAGAAACGCTCTCTAAAGCATCTTAAAACATTATCAGTTACCATTCAATGGTTTGTGTGGTGTTCAGTGAGTAAAACAGCACTTTTGGCATCTGCACAAGGATCACATCTGCAACCAGTTGTGTTTAAACCTGGTTCTATTAGTAAACTACCAAAAGTTGAAAGTAAACAATGAATTAATTAAGTGTATAATTTAAATACAAATTGTTTTTGTTTAAATAGCTGAACCTGGGCGCATGGCATTAGAAAGAGATGTGACATTATCAACTCTATATGGGGTTTTATCAGTGCTGATTCTTAGACATCAGAGTGGTGTACAAACTGCAGAGGTTCATATTCATACTTTGAATGGATTGGGCCAAGCTCCAGTGAAAAGTCATGTGTTAAAGCTGGGCTTAACCGGACGTTTTGCTATTAATATTGTGGACAACTTAGTTTTAATTCATCATCAGGTAATTTTCAGGTGTCAGAAGAGGTTTTTATAGTTAAACATTTAATTTAAAGGCTTCCAGAAGTTCCTTGGTATTTGACATTGCATTACCAATTGAAAGTGATGGAAATGTCACTTACCACACGCCAATTGCACCTGCACGATCATTAAAACCTGCTACATTGTCTGTGCCAGGTTTGGTTGAACCACAGACTCACGTTTGTGAACTTTGTGAGTAAAAACATCCAAAAGTTTAATAAATTGATTTGTTGTCATGCTTTGTATTTCAGATTCGCCCAATTGGGTTGTATTCCAACCAAATATCGTAATTGATGCAAAACTTGGTTGTTTATGGCATTTAAACTTATGTCTACGAGAACTTTGTCAGCAAATTCAGGATTTGGGTATTTGTGCACAATTGATATTAAAAAGAGAAGGCGGAAAAGATGTTCTGTTAGAAGTAAAGTTTTAAAAATGTTTAGTACATGTGCATAAAGTGTTAAATTGTGTCTTTTTTAGGTTTTATTGTTAACAATTAAACAAGACCGACCACCGTTGAAGAAAATCCGCGAGTTCTTCAATCACATAAATCATGTCTACCGCGCATGGGCAGAAGGCGAGCTGACCAGTCAAATTGCATCGCCGGCGAATGCGCCGATTAATTCCAAGCAGGCTTGCAAACCACCAGTGCTAATTGAACAAATTGATATTTATAATAATATCCTACAACAGTTGGATAAGGATGAGCAATTTGAGAAACTAGAATGGATTTTAATCGCATTCGTTACATCTTTATCCGAGTATTCCATACCTGCTCAACATAATATCAACGAAATGTTATTAACAACTCTGGTAATAGTAAAAATTACCATTTTAATAATTAAATAAATAACAATTTATTTGTGTTCAGGTACGAAGAAAGAAGTTTTCTTCACTGCAACAACTTTTGCAATATGGCGTCGTGTCTGATTCTAAACCACTGGCATGTCTTTTACTTTCATTGGGAAACGTTCACCCAGCTGCTTCACAACTTGCTTTAGATATGTTGATGCGATTAAGTAAGAAAATATTACTTTTTCTGTTAATGAGATGTATGTATTATTTTTAAATTGTAGATGCTGTGGAGGAGATTCAAGAGGTTTTGCTAAGTCAAGGACAATTGTTGTCTGCGTTAAAACTGGGCAATGATAATGTCAGTGTGCGGAAATTCTTGGATGCTGCCAAGACGTCTGGTGATCCAGCTTTGTTTCATAGTGCATTGCACTATTTCAAGTCTAATCCACATTTTTCCAAGGCATGGGAAGGTAAATAGTAATAGAATATTAAACTACACTTGTGAAATTATAGAAAATCAAGCAATGAAACTTAATTTTATTTTATAGATGAACGACTTGGAGAATACGCTGTTATGTATGAGAGCCTATTTAATTAATTGACTTTAATGTAATAATATGTATCTATTGTTGTTATAAAAATATACTTATTATGTTATGTTTTATTTCTTACTTAGGTTTTCATACACATGCATTCAGGAGTTTTTTAGGGCATGTTGTAATGTACGAAGCACAAAACAGTGAAATGTTAATTCTGACAATGATTTGCAAAATATTTTGTGTTTTCGTTTCGCTTCACGAAAAGTTTTCGCGAGTCATTTTAGTCAATATCCCAGTGTCGCCATCTATGGTCATTTTCATTCGCGTAGAAATTTATACATTGTTGTAAAGATTGCAACAAGTTGTCATACAAATAATATCGTATTCTAATCGTAATAATAAAAATAAAACAATCGTTTTGTTTCATTACATGTCATGTATATACAATTAAATTGTTTGACAAATAATTTACTTTAATCTTTTATAAGTACTTTTTTCGTTTTAGATCAATTGAAACTAATTTCCAAATATAAATTCACCAAACCTAGCCAAAACCACGTGCAGCAATCGAATAAATTCTAATTGTCATGTTGGTGGCTAGTCGCTCAAAATCAGTTTTCACCAATGTGAAAGAATCCAAGCGTTTGTTCTGCCTGCGCCGCGTATTCGAAGAAACCCGACAAGCCCAACGTCTGCGCCATCCATCAGCTTCATTCATCACCCCACAGAACGAGCAGCAAGGCGAGCAACGGTTTCCTCGTGCTCGCAGAACGCCGATCCCACCGATTGTACCGTTAGCAGCGCCGCTCACCCCGCTCGCCGGCCGGTTAGCATCGTCGCCGTTGCTCGTCGCCGCGACTCGCCCGTGGTGCGCGCCTTCGGTTCAGTCGGTTGCCGTGTCAGTGTTGTTTTTGGGGCGCCGCGCCGATCGCTACACGAGCGCGCACAGCAGTCGGCGAGCCATTGGCAGCAGCGACGGTGCCATACGAGAGTACTCAACGATCGCGCAGCAAACCCCAGCGACGCACATCATGCCCGAGACGACGAAACCCTTCGAGCGCCTGCCGGCGACGGTACAGGCCAAACACTACAAGCTCTGCATCACGCCGAATCTCAAGACATTCGCCTTCGACGGCGAGGTGGACATTCAGCTTGAGGTAGGTTACTTTCTCTCCACGGTCTGCGCACAACATATGCCGGCCTTGTGCATATACGCCACGGCACGCTTTCGCCGCTAGTCGCAACTCGCGGCACTCAACGTGCCTCTCGCACTTTCGCTGCAATGCTCTTGATACATCATACATGATCGACCATTTTATCTTATCATACAAAAACCTCTGTTTGTAGACTTTGGGCTTGGGGTGATCACCCACAGTAACAAACTGCTTTACTGCTTTAATATAAATTACATATTCTCGTATTTATTCTAGATTCTCAGCCCAACAAATAAAATTATCTTAAATGCGCTCGACTTGGCAATCAACAAAGTCCTCATCGTCGGGCCCTCGAAAAATACTTTATCACCGAAGGCGATAAACATATCCGTGGAAAATGAGACGGCTGAGATACTACTCGAAGAACCACTTTCGACAGGTTCCTGGAGCATGCATATGGAATTCACAGGCGAAATCAATGATAAAATGAAGGGTTTATACCGCAGCAAGTATGTGAATGAACAAGGAGAAGATCAGTACGCTGCTGTCACGCAGTTTGAATCAACAGACGCTCGCAGATGTTTCCCCTGTTGGGATGAACCGGCATGCAAAGCCACTTTTGACATCTCTCTGATTGTACCACCGAAACTTGTCGCCCTTTCAAATATGCCCGTTAAAACCATGAATCCCTGCGGGGATCTGCTAAGATATGATTTCGAAACCACTCCGATCATGTCTACATACTTGGTGGCTGCCGTTGTGGGCGAGTATGATTATGTTGAAGATAGGTCTACTGATGGTGTGTTAGTTCGTGTTTACACACCTAGAGGGAAGAAGGAACAGGGGCAGTTTGCTCTGGAGGTTGCTACCAAAGTGTTGCCATATTATAAGGAGTATTTTAATATTGCTTATCCGCTGCCGAAAATTGATTTGATTGCCATTGCGGACTTCAGTGCTGGTGCTATGGAAAACTGGGGGCTTGTTACTTACAGGTATGCAAAAAATACGTTTGCATGAATAGCAAATATTCTAAATTTAGTTTTTGGACGAATATCAATTTATGTTTTTTTTATGTGTTAGGGAAACATGTTTGTTAGTTGACCCGCAAAACACATCAGCAGTCCGTAAACAATGGATTGCTTTGGTCGTTGGACACGAACTCGCACATCAGTGGTTCGGGAATTTGGTCACCATGGAATGGTGGACGCATCTGTGGCTGAATGAAGGTTATGCTTCGTTTGTGGAGTTCCTTTGCGTTAATCATCTGTTCCCCAAGTACGATATCTGGACACAGTTCGTCACAGATATCTATATCCGCGCGCTCGAACTCGATTGTCTCCGCAATTCGCATCCGATTGAAGTACCTGTTGGTCACCCATCTGAAATCGATGAAATCTTCGATGATATCAGCTACAACAAAGGTGCGTCTGTTATCCGCATGTTGCACCACTACATCGGAGACGAGGATTTCCGCAAGGGCATGAATCTGTACTTGACCAGACATCAGTACAAGAATACATTCACAGAAGATCTCTGGGGTGCTTTGGAAGAAGCCAGTAAGAAACCAGTTGGTGATGTTATGTCTACGTGGACCAAACAGATGGGTTTCCCTGTTGTGAAGGTATCTTATGCTAATGCGGCTGATGGGAAAGGTTGCACGCTTGCTTTGGAACAGAGCAAGTACTGCGCAGATGGTGTTCATCCAAAGGAGGAGTATTTGTGGATGATTCCGATCTCTGTTTCCACTTCGAAGAATCCAGGCGTGGAAACGGCGAGCACTGTCTTGAAGACAAAGACAGGAGAGCTCTTTGTACCTGATGTGGGGCCGAATGATTGGATCAAAGTAAACCCGGGAACCATTGGGTACTACCGGACGCAGTATCCCGTTGAGATGTTGGAAAGATTGGAGCCTGCGATCCGCGATCGTAGTCTGCCGCCTTTGGATCGTCTTGGTTTGTTGGATGAATTGTTTGCCATGGTGCAAGCTGGGCATACCAGTACCGTAGAGGTGTTGAAACTGATGAAGGCTTTTGAGGCGGAGGATAACTACACTGTCTGGTCGTCTATTACCAACATTTTGGCGAAGATCAGTGTTTTGTTATCGCATACCGATTGTGCAGATGCTTTCAGAAAGGTATTTTTAGTTTAATTAAGTTAAATTTTTGTATGACTTATAATTTTATTGATTTAGTATGAGAGGGATTTGTTATCACAAATCTCCAAGAGATTGGGCTGGAACCCATCGCCAGATGAGAGTCATCTGGACACATTGCTACGAGGTTTGGTACTTGGACGTTTGGCGTGGTTAGATGACGAAACCACTATCGCTGAGGCAAAGAAACGTTTTGCTACTCACATTGGGAATGGACCAACGTTACCTGCTGATCTTCGCAGCGCTTGTTACAAAGCAGTTCTTCGTGCTGGTGGTGCTGAAACATATGACACCATGTTGAAACTCTACAGATCCGCAGATCTGCACGAGGAGAAAGATCGTATTAGTCGTGCTCTTGGTGCTAGCAAAGACGTCAGCCAGTTGGCTAAAGTTCTAGAGTTTGCCATGTCTGTAAGTGCTTAAATTTATTTTTAACAGAATAGAAATTCATATAAATTTTTAATTTGTTTATAATTTTTAGGAGGAAGTAAGATCCCAAGATACAGTTTTCGTCATCATGTCTGTAGCAATGACACCCCCGGGCCGTAAACTCGCCTGGCAGTTCTTCAAAGATAACTGGAAGGTTCTGATCGATCGCTACCAGGGTGGTTTCCTCATGGCGCGACTCGTCAAGTTCACAACCGAGAATTTCGCAAGCGAAGAATTGGCCACTGAAGTGGAGCAGTTCTTCAAAGATCACAAATCGCCGGGTACTGAAAGAACCGTTCAGCAAGCAGTGGAAACTATCAGGTTGAATGCCGCCTGGCTGGATAGAGACACAGCGGCCATCAAGGCTTACCTGTCCGCATAAGCGGCGTGTAAGGACTTTCTTTACACATAATGAAAATATGCCAGTGATTGATTGTATGGTTGGTTCTTGCTTGAACATGCCAGTGCAAATGTTTTGTGTGTTTCTTTACAGGCAGAAGTGGGTAGAAATTCTTGTGCATTTGATGAGAGATGATTTTCATAAATTTTATATACATACATACAAATTATTATGGTAAAACACAATATGTACTTAATGATTTATTATTCTATTTGTGAATATACCTGTTAGATGGTAAACCAACTGGTGTGTGTGTGTTTTGTTTCGCCAGGGATTATGACATATTTTATTGTAACAGGTTTATTATTGTTGAAACAAAATTATTTGTGTTCAGTTTGCCTACCTTTAAAAGGGAAACACTTGTAAAGGAAACCGTCATCACTTCATTTGTTCAGCGCGCGTGGGTCGTTTAATTAACATGATCCAGCGCATGTATAAGCTTAAGTATACAAAGTTAAACCAGTGAATTCTTCGCTCGAGTGTCGCACAGTTGCCGATTATTTATAAACACGCGTACGTTAAATGTGCTGATATTCTAGAAATTTCCACACGGCGCATGCGTACTGCGCGCGTGCATTGCGTCTTCTTTTATTATTAGTCATCAGTATTTGTGTTTTGGAGTCGAGCGCAGCACGGACAGAACGTAAACATCTTGATTTTTTTTGGTAATCATCAAAACGATTTACGCGGTATTTGCATCGTACGATTTACGTTTGTCATCTATAAATCGCACCGAGGAAGTAGAGCCCACGCGGTCGCCGTGCGAAATATGCAATTCACATCTCGAGACACACGTAAGTTTGGCATGCGAAAACAATCCATCCGTCAATCCTTGACCCGAATTTATCGCTCGCGTTTTGTGTTGTGTGAATTGTAATTGCTATGTAACTGTGCCTTTTTAGTCAATTTGTCAATATGTCTGACGAGCCAGTCGTAGTGCAAGCGTTTGAGAAACTCGAACTGGAAACAGCCTCATCCAGCACCAGCAGCAGCACTAGGAAACCTATCACCACCCCAGAGACAGTACCAAATCCATTTATGAGGCGCAAGAGGTCCAAGTCGCTCTCCAGCATCAACATCTTCAGCACAACTGCATGCACATGCAAGCACCACATCAATCGAGTGAAAAACACCACCAGCTTCAAGCGGAACATCAATAAGAAGATACTCAAAGAGCCTGTGCTAAAAATACTAAACAAATGTTCCAAATGTAATTGTGTGAAGAAGTCGGCTCAGAATAAGGATGAGCAAAGACTTAAGTTGGAGAAGTTGTTTGGAGATTGTGCTGCTGAGGGGCAAGAGACTGATTTTAGGAGCATTGTTGATGGCTGCCAGCAGCTGAGTCTGGCAAATGCCAACGACGGGGTGCAGGACTATTCATTGCCAAGTTTTAAATCAGTTCGAACATCTAAGAGTGGTGCGTCTACGTCGAGAACGGAAAAAACGGACAGCTCGAATGTGAACGCGTCATGCTCGCATCAGGCGCGTATGTCTCCGCCGTGTGACGTGACCATTGACGAATTGGCCAGTTATTTTGAGACGTTTGTGCATATTCCGAAAAAGATGAGTTCGATGGCGGAGATGATGTATACATAAAGCTATACATTATGTTGTATTATACACTGTTCTAATTCATTATATACATATGTTTAATGACATTTGAATTAACATGGATTTAGATTTAGAATGATGCGCATAAGTGTAGTATAGATGTTGAAAAATAAGTACAACTTGATTTAAGTTCTGTTTAAACAATTATACTACACTTATTCTGATAAATGCATAAAAATCTGTGAATTCGTTTGTTAGAGTTTTTGACTTAGAAGACTAGATAATTTAATGGCCACAAAACAATTGCAAGACACGAGCCAAAACATATTTATCTGGAAATTTAAAGAATTAATGTTTTTTTCGCTTCTGTTTGGATGTTTATATGATTTTTATTGTTTTGTAAGAAAGAAAACATACAATTCCAAGTAAAAAATTTGTTGAGACAACGAAAACTATTAGCAATATAAGTCAAATTTAGAAATATTTGAATGTGATTATTAATTTCTACAAAATTGCAATTTGATAAAGAATTCCAGACTTGTGAGGCCTGTGGCTCATGCAATAATAATGAAAACTTGTCACTTGAATCTGAAATGTGGATACTGTTAGTGTTGTATGTACATAACAAAATTAACTCTTGTGAGAATCACGAACGCGCCCAGGAGAAAGTGCTCAGTCATTAAAAAGGCAAGAATGTAATCGCTGCAGTGTAATAGTATGTAAGTTCTTACTTTTGGCTGCTTGAATGTACGCTCCTACTCATCGGAAAATTTGCCATCGTTGTCTTTGCATTGCCGTTTGATTTCCGAACGTGGTTTGAATTAAATTATTACCATCTGAGTTATGAAACTTGTTAAAATTCGAATACTTGAATTAATAAAACCGAATATGTAGATAATTATTTTCTTATAATCCTAACCAAGGTTATAATCTAATCTCAAAATCGAGTGTGAGTTAATGTTTGTCTTTTATTGTTCCGGTAGTATGTTATTTATGCCTACTTTGGTTTTAACAATTCAAAAATATTAATATTGGCGCATTTATATATTTGTCCGGATGTTAGATAACATATGCCGTGACCTTCTTTTATTAGTGATTCTATTGGCAAAATTTACGTCAAACTTTTGCAAATAATTGATTCATTTTATTCTAATGTTTTAATCATTGGATAAGTATCAAACTCGCCTATTACAAATAATTAATTAATAAATACAATAATTAATTACGTAATATGATATATTGTAATTGAATACTTAGATTAATGATATCGTAATAAATTAATTTGAATGATGCATGATACGCATGCGCCATCCGAATTTGTACTCGCGCGCCTCTGGCGTGTCAATTTGTAAAGTGAAGTAGCATTTGTTGACTTGTTTAGTCTGCTGGCGTCCTTTGCGGTTTGGTGCGCGGACTTCGAACGTCTTTCCTGATTTTATTCGCAATCAGTGCGCGCCCCCGCTAATAATCACAACACATTATGGCGTTGCAGCCGCACAGCAAGAAGCGCGTCTGCTATTATTACGACAGTGAGTACATTTTATTATTTTCCCGCAATATTATTCATCTAACCTATCAGCAAAATGCGTTCGGTTGGCGGCATTCGTTTTCAATCATTGTCGGAAAGAAACAAATTTTAGGAAATTATATCACGTTTATGTTTAGTTATCATTGATATTTTTATGTTTCCTGTGCTAATGTTGGTGGTTTGTGCTTTTAATTGTGTAAATATGATCATTACACGGTTTTGTAAAGGCTTGTACGATTTTCGTATCTATAAGTCGAGATGTCCACCGTAGACTCGACATTTGGTCGAAGTACCGTAGTCGTCCGCGCGCTCTGATTGGTCGACGCAGTAGTATGGCGGCGCTACGATGCTACTTTCTACGGTGCATCGACCTTGTATGGGAGTCGAACATGGTCATCTCACCGATAATTTTGTAATTTGAGATTTAATTATCGCAATTTGTATCACGTTTCAGGTGATATTGGCAACTATTACTATGGGCAGGGACATCCCATGAAACCGCACCGCATACGCATGACTCATAATTTACTGCTCAACTATGGGTTGTACAGAAAGATGGAGATATACGTAAGTTTTCCGCGTGTTTTGAACTGTTCAAATGATTTTTAATTTTTATTGGTGTTGATTACCAGCGTCCACACAAAGCTACCGCGGACGAAATGACAAAGTTCCACTCGGACGACTACATCCGATTCCTACGGTCCATCCGACCAGATAACATGTCTGAATATAACAAACAAATGCAACGGTTTAATGTTGGTGAAGATTGTCCCGTCTTTGATGGACTGTATGAGTTTTGCCAACTGTCCGCGGGCGGTTCAGTTGCTGCGGCTGTGAAACTGAATAAGCAAGCGTCTGAAATTTGTATCAATTGGGGTGGTGGTCTGCATCACGCTAAGAAATCAGAAGCATCCGGATTCTGCTATGTTAATGACATTGTCCTGGGCATTCTTGAATTGTTGAAATATCACCAAAGAGTATTATACATTGATATCGACGTGCATCATGGCGATGGTGTCGAGGAAGCTTTCTACACCACTGATCGTGTTATGACCGTTTCTTTCCACAAGTATGGTGAATACTTTCCGGGAACAGGTGACTTGCGTGATATTGGTGCAGGCAAGGGCAAATACTACGCTGTGAACATTCCTCTACGCGACGGCATGGACGACGAATCGTACGAAAGCATCTTCGTGCCAATCATTAGCAAAGTTATGGAAACTTTCCAGCCCAGCGCTGTGGTTCTTCAATGCGGCGCTGATTCTCTTACAGGCGATCGTTTGGGTTGCTTCAATCTGACAGTCCGTGGACATGGTAAATGTGTGGAGTTTGTTAAGAAGTACGGCCTTCCATTTATGATGGTTGGTGGCGGCGGTTACACAATTCGCAACGTTTCGCGTGCGTGGACCTACGAAACATCTGTAGCACTAGGCGTAGAAATCGCTAATGAACTGCCTTACAACGACTACTTTGAATATTTTGGTCCGGACTTCAAGTTACACATCAGCCCGAGCAACATGGCAAATCAGAACACAACAGAATATTTGGAGAAGATCAAAACGCGTCTGTTTGAGAATCTGAGAATGTTACCGCATGCGCCCGGCGTGCAAGTTCAAGCAATTCCCGAGGATGCTATCAATGAAGATTCCGACACTGAAGACAAGGTCGACAAAGATGAGAGGCTACCGCAGAAGGATCTGGACAAACGCATCGTACCAGAAAACGAATTCTCGGACAGTGAAGATGAAGGCGAAGGAGGCAGGAGAGACAACAGGAGTTACAAGGGTAGAAAACGCCCACGGTTAGATAAGGGCGAGAACAAGGAGAGTGCGACTGAAGAAAAAGCAAAAGAAGAGGTTAAAGTAGAGAAAGGTACTTATTACTGCAAGTTTTTATAAATATACCATTGTAACATTGAATCTGTTTGTTTCAGGCGAAGAAAAAGAAGATGTTAAACCCGCAGCCACCGACGAAGCAAAGAAAGACACGGGACCAACACCGTGACACAACCAATTACATTCTAAGTACAAGTGACATTAATTTGTTCACTTATCAATAAATCAATCCGAGATCGAGTTACAGGCGTGAAATGAACCCGACCGTGCGGTATCTTATCAAAAACATTTGAATTAAACAAACAAATCGAAACTGTGAATGAATTTGAACCCGGCCACGATATTGTTCAAACCGATTGTGCTGACATTTAACGCAATTACATACAACATCAGTTAGAAGCACGGAATGAAAAGACTGTCCTTCAATTGATTTCAATAATTTTATCCTTGACTGTTAACTCGTCGCGATATTTAATTGTGCTGTAAGAAAGTTTAATTTATAACAATATCGATGTTTGAACAGTTTTATCAAATAAATCCATGAATACATAATTCATTGTAATGTGCATCTGGCACAGAAATTGTTTTGTGTATCTGATGTGAAATATGACTGCAAGGAAGGGCTTTATTGTGAGAAGCTCAAGTGTTACTTCTATACAGAAAAATACTTCTTCCTCCAAACATTGTTCAATATTATTTTTATATGTCTATCTAATGTTAGTGATACTTATCTAAAATTAATTAAGTTATTCTCAAACTAGACTAGGAAGTAGGCAGTTCTGGATGGAATGCAACAGACAACCACAGAAATAAACTATTTCTTATATTAAAGCCAATGAGTATTAATTATTTGTTACTATTACAGTTTTTTTAAGGTTTCAATCCATATTGATTGGCATGCTCTCCACTGATTGATTATTAAGACGATTGAGATTATTGATACGCACCTATACTACTCTTCAAATTTTTAAGAAATGTTCATTTTCTTAAAATTTGTATATTTTACATTCATTCCGGGACTACTGCCTGTATCGTTCAGAGATGGCACTAGCATGAACTAAAAATCATAAAATAGAATTGTACTCTTTATTTCTGTATTTATCGGCAAACATGGGCATTCGGCACGAGAATTGTGTTTGTTTTGAACACAATTTACTTTCTTATCGCTTCAGCCGCGTGGAATGCAACGCATGAGATTCACGAGTGCCGTCGTTGAAATCCCCTTACGCCGCATGCAGCATATTCTAGTTTTGTTAAAATCGCGGATATAAAGCCTATAGCAATTCGTGCACAAGGTCACGTACCATCGACGCGCCGGCTTTGCGCATCTCTTGCTTTCTTATCGTTGCGTCGTTGCTGCTTTGGTTACGGCGTATGCTGTCGGTGGTTTGCAGCCAGTTTCGTGCCGGCCGGTGTTTGATCCAGACGTGTGTTGATACGAGTCGGGTATTGTTTGTTCTTCTGCTTTCTAAATTTACATTGTATTCGATCATCAATCGACTATTTAATTGTCAGTGGCGGATTACGGCCTAGGCGCACTAGGCGCGCGCCTAGGGCCCCGGCTGCCTGGGGGGCCCCGGCTGCCTGAGGGGCCCCGGCTGCCTGAGGGGCCCCTGGCACTTATATGTCCCATATAGACATAGTAATTCCACAAATACTTCATCACTTGGTTTTGACCTCAGCCTTTATGAATAGCGTATTGGTTTTCACTTGGCGCCCAAAACGGCATTTCACACGTGTTCGCAAAGCAACCGTCACGGATATATAGCTGACTTAAAACTTTTTATCTCCGATTTTATTTCTTTATGGCAAACTGTTTAAAATAAAATTTGGATGTTTTCTGCCACGAATTTTTGTGACCTTTTCTTGAATATTTCGTTAGAAAGTTGTAGCTATAATGCGAGTAGTATATTGCCAATTTTTTTAAATTTCGAACATCTGTGGAGGAGATGAGTTGAGGAATATTCCATTGAGGTTGTAAAATAGCGGGTAACTCTCTTTTTTTGAATATTAATTATTTCGTCTTTCTATCATTTTTTCACATCTACGGAACACGTTGAACCGACGTTTATCCTCCTACAATTTTTATCTGGATTTTTGGGGTGGTAGTTGGATTAAAAAAAAAACAGAGAGTGGTCAGTGAGTCGTTAGAAGAAATTGTACTTAGAAAGTTACATGACTATGGCTTAGATATCACAAACTGTAGGGGCCAATCTTATGATAACGGTGCTAACATGTCTGGCAAGTACAGTGGATTACAGGCACGCATAAAACAACATTCCAAATCAGCTGCATTCATACCATGTGGAAGTCATTCTTTAAATTTGGCTGGGCATACTGCAGCGGAATCTTGTTCTGGAGCATTACAGTATTTTATGTTTTTGCAAAATATATAACTTTCTTTGCTGCATCTACAAGACGGTGGAATATTTTAACTGAATGCATGAAGGATAAGAATTCTAAAAGTATCAAGAGAATAATTGATACACGATGGTCCGCAAGAGCTGACGCTGTTTTAGCCCTAAGACTCAATTATCAATGAAAAAAAATGAAAAACAAATTTTTTTATTATCAACATTTTTTATATTGTATGTGATGTATTAACATCAGAAATTACTCGAAGGGGCGATGTCTATATCAATGTTCGTAACGATTTTAAAATTTTCTTTGATTTAAAATTAAGCCGTGTTGAGACTAATAATTGTGTAGAGCGATTATTGTCTAAGTATGAAAAAGATATTGAGCCAGAATATTTCACTGATGAGTTAACTCATTTTCTAAAATTCATACAAGAAGAAAATATTAGAGATCCACATGAAATGTATGCAACATTAAGCAATGGTCTAAAATCACAAACGAATGTTGAAGTAGACTTTGCGGCGCCCGTACGCTAAAACTATTAATTTTTCTGGGCTAATAACCGTTTTTGAAAATTTTCGGATTTAGGGGCCCCAAACTTGATTTGCGCCTAGGGCCCCACTGAAGCATAATCCGCCACTGTTAATTGTTACTACTATAGTAATGTAGTAATAATTATAAAAGCGGTAGATATTTGATCGCGGCCCGTGTGCACACTTATGCAACTTACATGGTTCGGTGTCGGTCGCTAAATGAATTGGACATAGCATCATCATTACCTTCGCGTAAGTTACTTTTAATTCAACAACACATATTGTATTTTTTCTATAGTATATGAATATATTATTCTTAAATCTTAGGAAATGTTTCAACTTCTTTTCTTTTAATTACAGAACTCGCTGTGCCCTGGCGACTGATGCGCACAACAATTCGTAAGTCTATAATTCAACCATATTTTTAATTCTAATTTACGCGACCAACATATATTGCCTCAAGACGTACATCAAAAGATCGCGATAGCATGCCTTTTTTTCTTCGAATATTGCAAGACGGTGGAACATGGGAACCCTTTGTGATACTTTTTTTTTATTCTAGTAACTGTCTTTAATTGGCCGCCAACATTTGCCCTTTTTTCAAAATTTTCAAAACTTTCGGTGGAACAAGGGTCATATCTCGCAAACCCTTCGTGAGGTTTGTATTTTTTCTTCGGATACTAGTTGCGCACGAACAGCTTGAGACGAGACACCTTCTTCAGCCGCGTGGAATCCAACACATGTGATTCCCGAGTGTTGTCGTTGAAATCCCTTCACGCCGCATGCAGCAAATTCTAGTTTTGTTTAGACCGCGGGTATCGTACCTATTGCAATTCGCGCACACGGTCGCGAACCATCGACGCGTCGACTTTGCGCATCTCTTGCTTTCTTATCGTAAACTGTCGCGTTGTTGCTTGTTTGGCTACGGCATGTGTTATCAATGGTTTGCAGTCAGTTTCGTGGCGGGTGCTGTTTGATCCAAACGTGTTTTGAGCGACTCGTATTGTTTGATCGGACTTCTGTTTTCTAAATTTACATTATATTCGACTATCAATCGACTATTTAACTACTATAGTATTGTTGTTTAATATTTGAGCGTTTAATTTACATTGTACAAATTCGCGAAATTCGGTCGTAACTGCCTCAAAATGGCCGCCAGAATTTGCCCTTTTCTTGCATTTTTTAAAACACGCGGTTAAAATAGGCCATATCTCGCGAACCCTTTATTATATTTTAGTTCTTTCTTTGTTTAATGATAGGGCAAGAATGCATTTTTAAAATGCACCCCTGAAGCCCCGCGAAATTCAGTCGTAACTGCCTTAAAATGGCTGCGAAAATTTGCCCTTTTCTTGCATTTTTTAAAACACACGGTGGAAAACAGGCCATATCTTGGGAACCCTTTGTAATATTTTAGTTTTTTTCTTTATTTAATGATATGGTAAGAGTGCATTTTTAAGATGCATCTTTGAACACCCGCAAAATTTTGTCGTAATTGCCTCAAAACGGCCGCCAAAATTTGCCCTTTTCTTGCATTTTTCAAAACACTCGGTGGAAAACAGGTCATATCTCGGAAACCCTTCGTCGGATTTTAGTTTTTTTATATTTAATGATAGGGCAAGAGTGAATTTTTAAGATGCACCTTTGAACATCCGCGAAATTCGGTCGTAATTGCCTCAAAATGGCCGCCAAAGTTTGCTCTTTTCTTGCAATTTTCCAAACACGTGGTGGTAAACAGGCCATATCTCGGAGACCCTTTGTCATATTTTAGTTTTTTCTTCATTTAATGACCGAGCAAGAATGCATTTTTAGGGTGCAGCCTTGAATTCTCGCGAAATTCGGTCGTAACTGCCTCAAAATGGCCGCGAAAATATGCCCTTTTCTTGCATTTTTAAAACACACGGTGGAAAACAGGCCATATCTCGGGATCCCTTTGTCATATTTTAGTTTTTTCTTTATTTAATGACAGGAAAAGAGAGCATTTTTAAGGTGCACCATTGAATTTACGCGAAATTCGGTCGTAACTGCCTCAAAATGGCCGCCAAAGTTTGCCCTTTTCTTGCATTTTTCAAAACACACGGTGGAAAACAGGTCATACCTCGGGAACCCTTCGTTGTATATAGAATCCAAGTGATTTTTGCCGAATGATTTGAAGTTTTTTAATGCGATTTTGCACGCAGAATTCCTGTTTTGCTTATCTGTATACTATATACTATTGCGTGTTGTCGTGTGCCGCAGTTTTGTGTCGGTCGTTGGTTGGGTCGGACGTGTTTCTCGCGGTTGTTATCGTTTATTTTTTAGTTTGTTATTCGGTAAATCGCGTTCATTTCGATCGTCCATCGACTGTATTTAGTTATTATTGACGTGTTTAGTGTTTTATTAGTAGATAATCGTTAATTTTCTTTGCGTTTGTTGTGTGAATTGCTATCAACTTGTTTACATTTCGTGCTCGCGAAATACAGATAACATGAACCTGCAACATCTTGCAACGTTTGTTGTGATATTATTTCGTTTAGTTACGGTATATCGGGGTTTGTCGTCGTGTTTGGTATTTTGCCCCAGGAACATGGACAATGTTCTTCATTGAAGCCGAGACAGAACGGTAGAGTGCAGAAGTTTCTATTTTCCTTTTCTGAAATTATAGTCTCCGCTATTGTTTTCGAAGTCTTATTTATACGCGTGCATTTAAATCTTTGCTTACGCTGGGTTAGAATAATATCTTATCTTGTATTCAAATGTGATTTAATTTTACTTCTTGGTGAATTAAGCGCCAAATATTTGCCCGAGGATCATCTTTTGTCTACCAGCAGTGACGTCCGTCTTGTCCATGTTCCAGCGACTTTCAGACACCGCGCAAAAAAAAGGTAAAGTGTACATTTTCATTATTTTTCTTTACTGCAATTCCATTTAATTTATACGCGGCAGTTAACTTAGCATAACATGTATTTTTATTGCAATATCAAATTTGTATACTTTTGAACTTCTATCATGATTAATATTTATTTAATTTTAGAATTTGGAGCGTAAAACACCCACTTAGGCATATACGGTGATAGAAAATACATCCGAGAATCCTCTGCCACAATATCAACCAAAGGGACATGTACCAGCCAGAACCGGAGTTGGGCGGTTGGGCGACCGCCCAGGGGCGCCGAACTTTAACGGGCGCCGACTCGCATTTGGCCGGTTTTTTCGTATGGGTTTGACTTGCAGAAATCTCGCCCAGGGCGCTAGTAGTGCTAAAACCGGCACTGTCGTTGCGCAAGGAATTGTAGTTTTTTTTATTATAACACGCGAACGCGGTCTTACTGCAAATTCGGAATAATTATCTTAGATGCGGAATTTAATTCTGTATCTCCCAGTATCAAAATTTATTTAGAGAAAATTCCGTAACACAAGTTATATTAATAGTTGTGTATATACGCACTTATACTCGTTGCGCTAGGAATTGTAGTTTTTTTTTTATTATAACACGCGAACGCGGTTTTACTGTAAGTTCGGAATAATTTTCTTAGATGTGGAATTTAATTTTGTATCTCTTTGTATCGAAATATGTTGCTAGAAAATTCCGTAACGCGAGTTATATTGATAGTTGTGAGTATACGCACTTGTACTCGTTACGCTAGGAATTGTAGTTTTTTTTATTATAACACGCGAACGCCGTCTTACTGTGAGTTTGGAATAATTTTCTTAGATGTGGAATTTAATTCTATATCTCCCTGTATCAAAATTTATTGCTAGAAAATTCCGTAACGCGAGTTATATTGATAGTTGTGTGTATACGCACTTGTACTCGTTGCGGTTGAAATTGTAGTTTTTTTTTAATTATAACACGCGAACGCGGTCTTACTGTAAGTTCGGAATAATTTTCTTAGATGCGGAATTTAATTCTGTATCTCCCTGTATCGAAATTTATTGCGAGAAAATTCCGTAACGCGAGTTATATTGATAGTTGTGTGTATACGCACTTATACTCGTTGCGCTAAGTATTGTAAGGTTATCAAGAGTATACATTGTATTGCATTTAATCGCTTCACGATTGTTGTTGAAAACTGGCGGAGTTGCAGTAATGCGGATAAGGGTATTTGCCAGTTGGCGCACTGTCTAGATTTAATTCGTCAAGAGGTCGTTTCTAGAGAAATTGTCCATGGGGTTGTTTAGTTTGTTGCAGAAGTCGCGTGTGTAACATGTGTAAATTTGGTTGTGCAGTGTGATTTTTACTTGAAGGGTCAAATTGTTTTTTTTTTCGCTTTTTTGGGATAGATCTTCCTAATTTTTTTAGTCCTTTGTGTTATCCTGTAGAATCATTATTTCTAATTGTTGCTCTCAAAGGCGTACTATCGAAAGAAACGCAATTCCAATTGTAACGCATTCGAATAGTCCGTCGATAATGTTATAATAATATAATTTTATAATTTATGATAAGATTACAATTAGTATGATTAGCACACGGGAAACCGGCAAGAATGTCATTTTTGTGTTTCAATATGCTAATTCTTATTGTATTAGGAGTCTAGCAGGCGAACGAAATGTTATAGGATTACGATTCTTTTATCAGATTTTAAGTATTAAATTTGTTTATCTTTTTCATATATGATTTGTATTATTAGGACACGGGAATCCTGCAAAAGAATAATCTTTGTGGTTTGATGTACTGATTTTCGGTTGTTTTAGGTGTTTAGCGGGCGAACCCGATGTTGTAGGACATTCATTATTCAATGTGATTCTAAGTATTCTAGTTGTTTATCATTGTCATATTCAACATTTGTGTTTATTACAAGGGGAAGCCACAAAAGTGGTATTTTACCACAGAAGAATGCCCCTCCAACTGCATGGTGCACACGTGTTTTGTTAATTAATCAAACGTGTGGACGTTTTCTAGCGTTTCTTGATATTTTATAGCATTACTTGAATCGATTGACAATGAGAGGCATTTAGTGGTAACATTCCAGTGTAGCGCACAACGAATGATTTGAGTGATTCTTTGCGGAGCATGCGTGGCGTCCTTCGGATATGTTTTGGTGTCTATGGATATTTACTGGAGTTCAAGTTAAACTTATGTGTTTGACGTGAGTACAAGTGAGTACATTTGGAATCTCCGTGTGGAATAGTAGAGAAGGGCATATCATCAATTACATACAATTTGCGGAAACGTGTTTGTACGCTTTAGTCCTTCATTGATAAGAGAACAAAGAAGTACGTAGCATCAAATATAATTTGACTTTTATTTAACTTTTTAAATCTTACTGTTACCATTTTGTAAATTGTGAATGATTCAGTTAATAAAGGATAATTGAAGTTTATATTTTTGTTTACATGTGTCCCTTGTGTTCACTTAGTCGTTTCCAGGATTTGTATGAGGTCATGTTGTACTTTAAGAGTACACCATAGTATAGCATGGTATAGTAAAGTGTAGTATATGTACGCTGTTGTTTTATTTTACTATAAGATATGAAAACATAAATAGAAGAAACCAATAAGATTTGATAAGAAAGCCGCGTGGCTCTCAGGTGTGCAGCACATGTTGCTATCCAGTAGATCGATGGTTCGATCCCCAATTATAGAAGGCATTTTTCTCAAATATAAAAATAACAGGTGTAATTTGGGTTGCATATGTAAACTCAAATGAAATATAAGAGAAATTGAAATACAAGTGAAGGCAATAGAGAAATAAGAAAGGAAGTAGAGAGAATAGAAGGAAGAGAAGAAGAGAACAGAGTAGAGAAGAGGAGGAGATAGAAGGAAGAGAACAAGAGTGGATCAGATTTTTAAATTTTTTGGCCCGTGTCGTTAGACAGTCTAAGGCCCACTACTTCGATGTGTCCATTGCTCCCGGCCCATCCTACAGCTACGATGTCTCTACGCTTCATCCCTGGAATTATCAGGCATATCAACAATTTTTATGGTGGGGGATCACCCCCAGAGAGAGGGAATTTCTTAGAAGGACTATCCTTATAAGATCTTGTTCAAATATTTCTAAGTTTTAAGTCGTCTCAAGAGATGCGACACTTAAAAATATTCTTACAAGTTCTGACCTGTAGCTGAAATGAAAGAAGGAGCACACAAATCACACAGGATACCTTAACAATTTTTATAGTGGGGATCATCCCCAGAGTGAGGGAACTCTCCTAGAGACCTGTGCCTGAAATGATAGAAGGGGTATACAAATCAAAGAAGTAAATATATCATACTATTTCTTTATTAATAATAGAACACAAGTTTAGATTTTACAGGTCAGCAATATACACGTCGCCATATAGAAACAGGACTTACGACCTGCTTAGCCGCGCACATATAAGCAAGTACCACTTCGAACAGTTCTACGGGAATAAGGAAATTAGCAAATAGTTCATTTTCTACGTTATTGAAAATGAAAACAAATATACAGGGTGTTACAAAAAGAAAACAACTTCCTTTTAAAATACACACCAACAACAAACTTTCAAACACTACAAATATGGCTATTTTTCACGTGACATAAAGGGAAATTAATATACAGGGTGTTGCAAAAAGAAAATTCATAGATCGGAACGAGACACTCCAAAACAATAAATACAGCTCATTTATGCATGGAAAAACAATCAAAACCTGCAAGTATAGCATATGTTCACTCAATGAAAAGGAATGCACAGAGTGTTAGAGAAAGAAAATCCAAAGTTCAAAGTTCGTAACACCACGATACAGGAATGGGCAGGATGTTATACTCGTACAAAGAAAACAATTTACAATAAGATGTAATATTAGTTTTTTAATAGGTCCGCTTGAGATGCTAGCGAATAGTCGACGGATCGCCATAAATTTACACTAAGATACGTTAATTGTAGGGCTGTACAAATTAGCCGGCCAAGCCGGTTAAGGAAGTTAACCAGGCTAATTAGCTGGCTGACTACTCGGCTTAGCCGGTTAACCGAAATTAGCCAGGCTAATCAGCTAAAGGCTAAACCGGCCAATTGGCTAATTTTATATTTTATACAATATCTGTTCGGGCCAAGTCCGACAAACGTATTGATAACGCGGCGAATTGTTATCACTTGCATTTGGAAACAAAGATATTGTATAAAATATAAAATTAGGCAATTGGCCTGTTTAGCCTTTAGCTGATTAGCCTGGCTAATTTCGGTTAACCGGCTAAGCCGAGTAGTCAGCCAGCTAACTAGCCTGGTTAACTTCCTTAACCGGCTTGGCCGGCTAATTTGTACAGCCCTAGTTAATTGTTGATGAAATACAAATAGATTTAGCATATTAATGCTATTAGTGTGACGTGTAATAGAAACAAAGATTCGCGATTGATTATCTTGTTTTGTTGCAGAAAACTTGTGACACAATCCGGGTTGGAGACGACAATTTCCTGATTAATTTTACTTAAATTATAGCTCCTATACTTGCTAATTGAGAACCAACAAGTTCTATTCCAAAATTGAGTTCAGTATAATTCCACAGGTGAAAAATAATCAGCGACGGCCGACGGAACCACCCGCGAGCACAAATGAACTAACGATGTGTCTGCGATTGAAGAACATTTAACGCGATTCCTATATATGTCGTTAATTGTTTGTTGAATATAAACCGATATATCTAATTATGATTGGATGAAACAGAACTAGTTGTGATGAACATGCGCGATTTACTCGGCGTCCGAAATAAAACTGCAACGTGCCCAGTCAACGGAGACAACACGCGGTCACTATCCGTTTGCGATATGCTTGCTGAACGCGACCCTGGAGTTAGGTGGTTTCATTTTGCTTGTTGGCTGCACGCAACTCAAAACAATTACTGAAGCAGATTCCAAATATTTCGAATTTTCAATCTGTTTCGTTCTATCGCTTTTAGTTAATGAGATAATATCCACTGAAATATTGAAAAACACGAGTCTTATTTTCCCGATTTTTGTATGGTATCTAATAAAAAATTGCTCTAGATTAAGAATTTGCAGTTCATTCTTTTCTATCGCTTTTATTTTACAATATCGCGGTAAATGACAGTTCATAATGTTTAATTCGACGCAAAAAGACAATACACATGTTCTCGACAATATGAAAACTTACTTGGCAAGCCACTTGCACCGCAATATGTGTAGCTGAATATCTAGTTGAATATATGTATATTCCAAACTGGAGTTAGCACATGCACCGACGGAAACAGTACACAAAACATTAAATTCACATTTTATAATAAATAATTCCATCTTCGAATTGATTCAATGGTCAATTCACTCTAAATATCATTAAGTATTGATCGAATACAGCGCGAATTACTGAATTAATTAATTACGAACACGGGTAAAGCCAACCACATCGTCCGACGGCCAGAATAAAACTATTTGCCAAATGTCGCCGTTGATGTCAGCAGGGTGCAGAGTACCGTTTGCCTCAGGTAACATTGCGCGCAGCAACACACAAACCCAAACACTGATAACACGCACTACAAAAAACGAAAACAAGTCTTGAATTTATGTGTATACAAGCCAAATTCAATGAAATCAAAAGTAAACATTAACTAAATAACTCAAAACTTGTCGCAATTATCTTCTTTCCCTACTTCTGCAATATGTTTTGTTATCTTAAAAGTAATTTATTAATTTTATTAATTAGTTTCATGTAAATCATTCGCTTTAAAAGTTAAGTGACAAGACTTAAACATTTACATGTGGCATGGTTTTCAAATCTATATTATATAAGATTAAAATAAATATCACCGCATTCGGTGCTTTATCCGAACTGCAACAGCAACTAGGTACGTAAATAAAAGTGAGTGAGTAAAGAAATTATCACATTCCACACGTTGCTATTGCATTGACGTCACTTGTTTTGAAAACAATAGTTTTACTTTAAAATTACTTGTAAAATTTATTTATTAAAAACTAAAGTCTTATAACGATATCATCAGACTAACTACTCCTATACTACTACTAGTGTAATATTTCTATATTACTGCTATATTATTGCTATACTACTGCTACTACTTCTATGTCCTATACAATACAGTGGAATCCCGGTAATTTGACAATCACTTTGAAGGGCAGTGTCGGATGAGCGAATTTGTCGGATTATAGAAAACTGCCTAAGACCCCTTACAGTCCGGAATTTTTTTCAAATATTTAAGTGATATCTGCTTAAGTGATATGCTGATGATAAAAATGTTTTGCTGATAATGATTTTTATAATAAGATTCATTATTTCTTAAGGAATACTTGCTTAAATTTACAATGCCAATATAAACAGCAAAATGTGATTTTATTCCAAGAAATAAAGATTCTATATCTGCAGGTAAACAAACTTATCTCTTGTGAACTCACTACCACCGACAAGCAATATTTAACGCGAAAACGTGCATCGTAGTGTCATCTAACCGACTATCTAGTAACGGCAGGTTTAAATTCAAAACACATCTTATCAAATATGCAACAAAGATGATATGGCATTTTATTCAGTCGCGAATATCTCGTAAACTAAATGAGATAATTAGTATCGCATCGCAGCGACTTAATCTACGGACTATTCTCTATAAGATAGGATCGTTAAAAAGGGAAATCTGAGAGATGAAATTTTAATTCTTAAGAAAAAATTGCCAAGGGGGGGTCCTTGATACATTTTTTCGACGATTTTTGATAATTAATATCTCTTAAAATAAAAGAGATCGCAACCAATAAATTGCTGATTACAAAAGATTGGAAAATTCTCTATCAGATAAAATATAAAATAATTATATTTCGAACAGAAAAAGGTCAAAAATTGCCACTAAAAGTACTAAAAAGTGACATTTTACAATTTTATTCAATCGCGAATATCTCGTAAACTAAAAGAGATAAATAAGATCTGATCGCAGCGTATTAATCTACGGATAATGCTTGATAAATTATTTCCACGATTTTTGACTGTGAATATCTTCTAAACAAAAAGAACGTTAATATAGTAGGTTCAGAAAATATTCAGAATCAAATGGCTTGTGGCATCTTTGTTACCTTTGTTTCTTTTTGGTGTCGTTTCATTAATTTTGAAATAACACCGATTATAAAGAAGTTTTCACTTTAAAAATATTATAGTGTAGGGGTGTCTGGCTGGGATTGGAACCTTAATAAGTGTCTAGTAATGAGCCGCGTATGTTAAAATAATGTTACGAATAAAATATTCAAAAATGGAGTTTGCTAAAATAACGAATTTGACATCATAATTGGTACATCTTTGTTGGTTGTTAACTGCCAAAGGAACCAAGATTGGGTACACACAAAGAAACATTTTCATTTTTCCTAAAATGACAAAAGTCTGGCCGTCATGGGCTCTTAGACTATAACGAATGTCCGACTCATAAATTTGAACGCAATATACGAGTATAATAGAATAGGAAACTTACCAATTACTGGAATTTAAGACACAGCGAGCACTGTAAATTAAATTTCATAAGATATAATTATAAATATGTATTATATTTACACATTCCAAAAAAATAAATAATATGTGTTGTTCAGTTAAAAGATACCTACCCAAGATGGATCATCCTAATTCATCAACATGACGGCGATATGCATCCCATTCATATAGCAACCGATGCCGAAGACAACCCACAATGGAACATGTGAAGCAAAGATTTTGTAACTTGTAATATGCACATAGACGCGTAAAAAATCAGGCAAACAGAAGAGCGAGAGACGCGTCTAAATCAACCAGAGATCGGCATTGAACTAGCATCAATATACACAAAATACCGAATATGCACACGACCGCTCCTGATAAGATAGACTGATGTGAAGCGAGAAGTCAGCGCAACAATAGCACGCAGTTTTGTTGCTCGAATTGCAATAGGCACTATACTTGAGATTCAAACCAAACTGGAATGTACTGAATGCAACACGCTCATATATGTTGTACCCAGCTGAGTGAGGCGAAAGGAGATGGCTACAATAACACACGGGAATCTTGTGCGTGGCGTTTCAAACGGCGAATGCGATATAAAAGTTGTTTATACACAAACGCAGATAACTGCATTGTGTTCAACACTATTCTCGGGTCCACGATTCCGGATAAATACAAAAATAAGCAGAATGAATCAATTTTATATTTAAGTGCATCGTAGCGGCATCTGTGAATGATACAGATCGAAGTTTCGGAATTAAAATATTGAAAAATTAAAATTCGAATTCTGTAATTTCAATTTCTTAAATTGGAAAATTGCCCTATTTTACTTGAAATATTTAAGTTTTTAGTTGACTAAGCCACAATTCCATCATAAATATATAGAACTAGCATTCAAATTCATAACAAAACACAAGATATAGATTTTTTTTAATTGGCACTATTGAAAATTTACTTCAATAAACCAAATTTGGAACACATTTTGGGACATTCACCAGCCCCTTCTATTTCAAATTTTATATATCTATTACATAAATAAGATTTTACGATAGTTGCACTATTTAACAATCCGGATTAACATATACAGATATCCATTTCAGCTCAACTTATTACCTCTTATATCACAGAAGAAAACTGAAGAATTTACAGTGTTCAGATGTTTCAATATTGTTTGATTGATCTATTAATTAGTTAAAGCATAATCTAGCTAGAAAAATTACTCAGCTTAAAACTCAATTTTGAGCAACTTCTTCTTCTACGCCAACGAAAACGAATGCTAAAGTTAAATCACAAATAAATCCACTCCACCTTGCTTCCTAGTTTGCTTGCTCGCATCTCCCATCAGCGTCCTATGCGAGCAACTTGCAATCCACGCACGCCGCCAAAAGAACGCTTCAATCAACCGATAAAATGCTTTCCAAACTCGAGCGTGGCTTATCCGGCAGCATTGGCCCGCCCAGATAACTGATCGGGTTAGCGAAGCGTCGCTGTTGCGGATTTAAGAAGAGCGGGCGTAGATTTCCTCTTTATATTTATCCATCACTAAAAGTAACAACAAGGTGTATTTTACAATATGCCAATGACACCAATATGTAACTTACCTTTTTCAGGATTCGTAGTTGGCCTTCTTTGAAAGAGTTTCTTTAGTACCTATTATTAAATTGTAAAATTTGTAATTGGCGTTGATTATTTGATATGTTAGTGCAGGCCCAAAATATTAGATTATTACCCAATCAATCTATGTTAAAATTAATATTACATACCAATACCACCACTACCAGAACTTATTAGAACATAATATATAAATATAATTTGTTAAATTAGTGATTCTTCCACCTCTGTTGCTTCCCCGTTTTCTTCAATGATCAATGTCGGTTGAGGATCGACCACCACCGCCACCCGTTTGTGTGCTCTCGGGTGTTTTGTACGAAGACGTGTAGATGGAAGCGATGGTGGTTTTTGCACCTAGTGATTCCAACAATTGTTAAACAGATGTATTTTTCAAAAATTACCCATGCTTTCATGCCAAATGCTAAATGTGAGTGTTGGTTACATATATATTTATTAGTTAGTATTGTATGGACAAATTCCTTGACACACATGCGGATATATTAATTATTATTTACTCATGCAATGATTCCGTACTAGACATGTTCGATAGTGTAACTTCGCTAATACTACTCAGCGTCGCCATCTTAGCTAACCCATTCGCATTGCTTTCGCATTGACATACACTTACTGGCTTGCTCTCCTTGCTGTCTGTATCGTCATCATCTGACGTGTGAACCTCTTCTTCCTCTTCTTCAGTAACCGCTACTAAGAGTTCCTTGCTTTCTATGGGTTCCATTTCGAGTTCGTTGCCTTCACCAAATCGAATGCGTTTATCTTTGCCATTCTTCCCGCTTGGTGTCGTTGGTGTTTCGGGTTTTTCTTTTTCTGGCGTTCCGGGGACCATGTCCTTCAAACTTGGGACGCTTCCATTGTTGTTGCCATTATTTAGTTTGATCGAGAGTTTACCATTGAGCAATGGTTTAATTGTTGTATCATTCGACTATTAATACAAAAAATAATTAAAAATTTCATATTAACTTCTTGTAGTTTATGATTACTGTTACCTCAATATTAAGTTGCGCTGGTTCTTGCATTTTAAGTGCTTGTTCCTTTGACCAAAAAATACTGGCGTCCGTCTCTAGTTCCTTCCGTCTTTTATATTGTTTGTTGTTGCGCCACACCTCATAATACGAGCAAATAATAACCAAAACAAATAAAGTAGCCAGAACTATTACAACTACTTCTGTATGGTTTTGTTCTTGTACTTCTGCGGCGTGGTAGTGAGATTTATAAAGAACACGTTGTGGTGCATCTTCAACCCAAGTCTTATCTTTTCCCTGCATAACATTTATAATCACTTATATTAAATTATTGACACAATGAAAGTTGAAATTTTACCTGACTTATGTTTAAATTTGTAGGCCCAGCTGGAATTTTATGCATTACATCAAAGTGTGCGCTGCATTGGGCACTCCTGACACCATGTGGATTTGACACATTCACTTTCTCCGCCCCCGCCTTTGTAAACAACATGTACTCCTCTAATGGCTTCATTGCATACTTGTTAATTTCAATAAATATGTCTGCAAACAAATGTCTACATTATCATTTCATCCGTTTTGTGATTATGACATGTGTACTCACTCGACAAACAACCCCCATATCCTTTGTAAATAGCAAATCGCGGATCCTGTGTGTTGTGCCCGCCGATTTGTACTTCATTGGCGCCCTTCTCGGGAATGGGGATGAATGTTTGCGCAGGGATCTGCACCATCGGGATGACCTCTCTATCGACGAGCAGTTCGGACTCGTTTGCTTCTCGTTTGTAATATACCGAATGTCTGGCGCCGTTGATAAAAGTTTTCTTGCTCACGATGGAACCGTACACGGCACCCTCGCGATCTTCTTGGAAAATCAGATGTCCTTCTGGCGTCAAACCAACCAAGAGGTAATAACTACGACTGGAACGCAAACAAAACATTGTAAGAAAATAAAGTAAGACAAATATTTCTTGTTACGTACTAGTTTTCGGTATGTAGCAGTAACAATACTGTATTTTTCTGTCGATTATCCATACTGGAAAAAGCGAGCTGTACTTTGACCGACTCCACGGTCCCGTTGAGGTAATAATCCCGCCACAAATTCGACTCTCCGCTGAAATCAGCGCCTTTTTCATCCGAACAAAAGTCGCCGTAGTAGCTCGTGTGCTCGCAGTCGCATCGATGTTCCTGATTACGAAAATCCTCAATGCAAATGCCATCGTTTTTGCACGGCACCGCATCGCACTTCATGTCGCAATGCTTAATGACGCCCAAAGTTTTATCGGATTTTTTCACTTTTGTGGGCAGATCTATTAGAGTTTGACCTATTAACAACCCGCGCAGGCATCCCACATAGCCGGGCAGGTTGGGCAACGTATTCGAAACGCGCAGAAGGGTTCCCGGATCGTAACCGCCGAGGTTCAGTTGAAAGTATTCGGTTGGGGGTGCTGGTGGTCGTTGGGGAGCCAAAACCTCTGGGAATGATTGGAATGTTGTCGCAAATTAGCTTACAGGGGGTTTTAACGCATCCAAAATTTAAATTTATACCAAATACTAAACACTGTTTTACCTTTTTCCGGATTTATCCACGGCTTGTGCGAATATTCGTCATGTAATAGAACGCCAACATTCAGGGTAGTGTTTTTGTCATTCACGTGCAGCGTGACATTAAATTCATTCCTCTCGATTGCGATCTGCACTGAAGTGCTCGTATTCAGTTCGGCATATTCCACCGTTAAATTCTTAATTTCATTGCCATAGTTGAACATATAAACGACTTTGGTTCCGTTCTCTAAATACAGCTGGACGAAATTGTTCAGATGGTCATTGGCGTAGAGAATGAGCGAAGTTTTATCGTACGTTCGCAAATTAATGAGCACCAAATCCTCGAATATTTCGCGCAGAACAAAGTTTTCGTCGAGTACCTCAGCACCCAAGTAGCTCTGCTTCAAATATGACTCGGGATGTGTGAATGTGATGGCGTTCGTGTTAATGTCTACAAAACAATTTAAAAGTGGGTTAGCGCCGTGTGGTAATAAAAGTTTACGTGGGTGCTATTACTGGTTTCGCAGTAGATTCCTTTGTACGCCCAACGATTCGGGCAGATGCACTCGAACGTGCTCCAAAGTTCCTTGCATTGGGCGCCATTTTTGCACGGATTGGGCACGCATGACGGCTTGCAATCTTTGATAATTTCACTAAGATGCACGCTCATGTAGGCATAAATATCAAGGATTTCTTCGTTTACCACTAACCCACGGAAACAACCGATTAAGCCTTGAGAAATCGATGATTTTGGATGAAGAAAATCGCTAAACAACATAATATATTAAATTAATTAACCTATAAATTCAATATGGAGGTTACTTACGGTGCTCCTCCAATGAACATTGACCCTTCAAATGGACCAAACTCTTCTTCTGGTTTTAAATCAACCATGCGGTAGTCTTCGTTTATCATTACACGCACATGATATTTATTGTAATCGATCCAAAGTTTGTGCCATTCCCCACCGTTGAGTTTCCTTCCGGAAATAATAACAATCTCCTTTGAAACACCGGTGTTTAATGTGAAATTAAAAGTTAACTGGAAGTCTGAAATGTTACAACGTAAATTACCAAGTGGAATAACGTCATATCATTAATGAATTACCGCTTGTCAATGCAACCATAAAACTCGGGTAGTTTGGTCGTATAGGTGGCTGGTACAATAAAATTGCCTTCTTTCCAGTTGTCCGGAATGAAAATGCCAAATCGCCTTTGCGCCAGCCGGGCACTTCGATGTATGATTGACTGGTCGTGAACGTAACGACGTACCTTTGAGTGTCTGCAAGCACACAGGCGTATAAATGCCACGCGGAGAGCTATTGCCCGAGGACGGATTTAGAAGGGACAGACCGGAATTGCGAAGGCATTGGTGCGCGTTTATACGCGAAGTTCAAATAGTCGATAGTTTGATAGTCGCCTCAAGTTCTAGTTTTACCTAGTTCTCAAGTTGCCGAAGGGAAACTTACTTGTTTCGACGCACTCTAATGGTCCGAGCGTAATCCGACCGAGCGCGTCCTCAGGTAGATTCGACTGCTGTAGGAAGACCATCTCGGTGATGCCCAGACTGTTGCCTAGCGTGTAATACCCATCATCCGAGTTCCATTTGTTATCCTCGACGTCATCACAATTGCACCATTGTGACGGATTTTCACATCTTTGACTCACTGAACACGGACATGTCCCTCTGTTCACGACAGAAACAATAATTCAAAATTTAATATTATTTATGTGCTTACAAACCTTTTGACATCACCGATGAAGTCTACCGTTTGATTGGCAGAACTAATGAACCACGTGGCCGAGTGCAGTTCCAACGGCGCTTTCAGACAATCGTACTTAATGTATTGGCTGCAGTTGAGCGAATGCGAGACTAATTCCTGCAGCATGTCGGCTGTAAACTCCCTGTACTTGATACTAAAGCTAAAGTCCTTCTCCGACGGCGAGCGAACGTCGATCTGACTTGGCAGATTGTGCTCGACGATCGTCTTGGTGGAATCCTCCAAGCTTTGGAACTCGCAACGCACGTGGGCGGGTGGAAACCGACCGTTACCGTCGATATCAATCAGATAGACATCAGGCTTGGTATAACCTGCGCACAAGGGCAGACAATGAAATCCACGTTAAAGAATTAGTCTCAGAATCGAAGAAAAAAAGATGTCAGATTGATGACCGAATCTTACCGAGCAAGGCGAGCTCCTCGCAGGTTTTACGATATTTTGCAAAATGACAGTTTTTGCCACGGTAGCCTGTGTTGGTGCAGTCACAGATCAAACGGTCCTCTTTCACAGAGCACTTTCCGCCATGCTCGCACGTGTTCGGCCGCTTGCACGGATCAATGAAGCGGCAATCGTCCAAAGTCACTTCCCCAACGACACGTTCCGTCTGTAGCACCGAGCGTGGCTCTACACGCTGACCATTAACTTCGATATCACGCATGCAACCAACAACTCCCGCATTTGTTCGGGACCCACTGCCAATTTTAATTTTGTCACCTTTCGAAAAATGAAGGTCTCCAATACTCTGCTGCTTGTATCGATTATCAACCGCTAAATAAATTTCTTCATCTTCGTATTTTAATGTTAACGTATGCCAAATCCCGCGTGTTTTCTTCACACTGATCAAATGAGTTGTATTTTTAGTAGAATCTGTTAATTCGAAGCGTACTTCATCATTGACAACCCGCACTTCCCAATAGAGACCTGTTTGGGCCTCACTGGATGCCAAAACGCTTAAATTACTGCTACTTTTAAACTCGAAGATGAGCGATAACGAATCTGTTAATTCATTCGGCCACCAAATATGCGACGACGTAAATGGATACGTAATCGGCATCACTTCAACGTCGTCTTCGATGTATTCAGGCCGCAGGATGCCGATGTAATGCACTTTGGGATTGGCCTTCTTGAGTTCGTAAATTATGGACACGTCGTTGTAGAACACGTACTTGAAGCAGCCGGCAAAGTTATTCTTGGAAAGCAGGCCCTTCTTTTTTTGCAACTCCGGTCCGCCCCCAATGTAAATCTCAGGATCGATGTACAGCAATGAATTGCCAGTTAGATCCAATGTTACCTTCTCCTCATTGAGCACCAAGTGCACTCGATCGTACTCGTGAAAAATCGTCAAATTATTCCATTCGCTGAAGTTAGCCGCTACCCCAAGCACAGTGCTCATCGGTCCGTCGCCAAAGTCCACTTCGATGTACACGGAATTGTTGTAGATGGAGGCGGCGAGGTAGTGATCGATACCCCGATCTCCTCCACTGGCGTAAAACAACGCCGAATCATCAAACTGGGTTTTGAAGAGCATGGAAAACCGATTCATCGCTGAGTGGACGCGATCTTTCCAGTCGTACACTCGATACGAAACGTAGGACGAGCCTCGGAGGGTTAACACCGTTGCAGCTGCAAGAAACAACAACCGCATGGAAAAGATCCCGAGAAGGTGATAAATGAGTGCCGTGAAAGGGGTTTAATTAAAAGCGCGGAGATAAAGTTAAATTAATTACTGTAAATGTCGCAGTACTCGCCCTCGTACTGCGTGCCAAAGCAGTCGCACGTGAGGCTGTTGTAGTGATTTATGCAGCGTGAGCCCAGGAAGCACAGGTTGTCGTAGGAGCTGCACTTGTTCGTGCAACCCTCTTGAACGTTTTCGTGTTTCGTCGCTATTAACGGGCTGATTGGTAAAAGATCAGACGCTGACTTTCCTGTGCTAAGAATCACGTCCTTGATGCATCCGACAAAAGATTCGATAATGTATTTCACACCATGCAGTCTCTCCTCAGAAGATAAACCTTTTAAATAACTCATATCAACAGAAAACAAAAATAAAATTTAGATAATATCACCTCCAATCAAAATAACTGAGGTAACATTTGCAGGTACTCCATAATTGTGTTCTTTATCCAAGCCCTTCAGATCTGTCTCACTCTTGAGGTCATCAACAGTAGCAGTCAGGCGGGCAGAATGCACGTCGATACGAACCTGCAATAGAAAAGTTAATCGTTCGATGATAATCTCTCCGCTGGTGAAAGAAAATTTGTCTTACAGTGACGGAATGCCATTCGTCTCGATTTAACCCTCTTCCCACTGTCAACGCAGTGGAATGCTTGCCGTAAACGTGCACGACCTTCAATTGTCCCTGCTGTACAATGATGTATAAAGCATAAGGTTGAAGAGCAACCCCAGAAGGAACCTTCACGTTGTGATACACCAACAGGCCATGCGGAAGACGAGTTCTGAACTGGAATGAAATCTGTCGACACAATCTGAAAGTCAATTAATTTACAATCGTGGTCCCAATGAGAAAGTCGATTGAAAACCTCAGTTGGAAGGTCTGGATGATGTCGCCGTCAATCTGAATAAAAGTATTCGACTGTGCGAACATGAATGTGTTCTGGTGTCCGGTTTCTTGAAACGTCAGTTGTGGTCCCCGGTCCTTCCAAGGCACCGGGTTGCCTTTCAGAAGTTTGCCTATGAATTGATCACGGTATTCATAAATGTTTGCCCGAAACGACAAGAGTGGTGACAGTGTTTACCGTTCGGGCTGATGCAGCGCTTGTAGCATTGCATTTCGGTGTCGAAGCGGTTCTTGTCGTTGCCGGCGCACCCGCCCCATACGAACATCTCGCAACGCTTCTTCTCCGGCACGTAGGCCCATTTGTAAATGTTGCGGTTGCATGGGCCCTTGTCGGGCGGGCCGGGACATCGCTGCGCCTCGCTCGACTCGCCGCCGCCGCTTTTGCTCGCCGCTTCGATCGCGCCGCATGCGATTATTAATAGTGTCACGGTAAACTGTACGTCTGCAAACATACGCAGGGCGTCTCTGTGTCAATACGCGTTATGTACAATGGATATTTGGCCGCCGTCATCCACCCGTTGTAAGCCTGCATGCAGCTAAGTAGATCGGCAAACAGCAGCGGGTGTTGAGAGAAACAAATATGCGCTATTGTTAATGTTAATGCAAAGATGGAAAACTAGTGAATTGAAACAACACACCCACTTTATTGGCGGTGTGTGCGTTATAAATTTAACTAAAACAAATTTACTTATTCACATTATTGATTAATCAAATTATTTCAGTTTGCTTTTAATAAGACCAAGAACAGTACTTCGGTAACAACTAAATTTGATAGTTTAAAGTGAATTGATGTAGAATTTATATAAACAAACATAATTAATATTAATATAAACCTGTGCGTAAGCAGTTGCCAGTTAAACTAATATGTGATTTAGATTTGTTCAAAGCTAAACGCCAGCGTTTATTGTCGGAGATGGAAATTTATTGCGTCAATGCATAATGATAACAATGAGCAAATTTAGTGGCCAATAAAATATTTAAAATTGCGACTATTCCGAACATCAATTTGCGAATTTTTATTGTAGTTTCCCGATTTGGTCTATGGCTGCATCGAAATAAATAAAACAGACTTTCCTAGCTATTATTTTACAAGCGATAAAACACTTTTAAAGAATCATTTATTTTTATTTTTGCCTAAAGCGACTGCACAAATTAGAGAATCATGACCTTCACATTGCACATTGCTTTGAATGCTGCGGAATATCGCTCAAATAGTTTTCAATTACAATTATGTTTCAATAACCGCATGATTCACATAATTGAGTTCTGGTAAGTCAATTTTATTGTGTTTAAATGTCACAGTTTAATTTTTGGCAGTGGAAATTTAAGTAGATTTAAGTATCTAATCATGATGTAATCCTTTATAATAAAACAATTAAATTCTAATTCAAGTGATTACCATTTGCTAATAAAATTGTTTTATCATAAGTGCATAATATGTTTTTATTAATAAAAATCTTATCAATGCAAACAATAATCAATAATGTTCAAATGCTTTTGCAAAGTTTGCTAGTTTGTAATTTTAATTAATAAATGAATACTTATGTAAACATATAGCTATGAATATTATTTGGTGTTGATACAATCGTGTAAATTTAATTATCACCTGTGTCAACACGCAACATTGCAATAATCGAGAGCATATTGTTTCAATGACTTGGCTTTCGAACTTAATTACACTAAAAATCCATGTGTTGTATTGTATTATCGCTGCGAGTTGGTTTATTTAACGAAATTTATTAGTTGCAGGTTAGTAGGAGTTCTGTTCACACATTTAAGTTATGAGGTGTTGAATAACGTGAATTAGATTGAGGCTGGTTGCGTCAAAAGCAAAAGTTAACATTCGTTAAGATTCGCACTTTTTGTTGTCATATTTAACACGTTATTTGCTATTGGATAATATGTGTTTGTTTAGGCTTTAGAACATTTTTCAGTAACTCTTCTTACTTAAATGTTTCAAGTTCAGATAAAATTCTAGTAACTAATTCTAGTTTTATTACCTAATGGGTATAATCATAATCATACTTGAATGCTATACTGTTTTTAAATAGCCTCGGAAAAATATGAAAAATACTTTAAAATGTCCTGTAAAGTGAGTGAGTTTTAAAACATTTGATTAGGCTTTATGGATAATATAAATCTTCTTTTGGTAAAAATAGCAGAAGTTGACAAGCTTTGGAAAGTTTTTTCGCCTTTTTGACCCATTTGAAAAGCAATTTACAAGTAATATCCGGAAACCGTACACAAAAATAAACTATGAGATAATTATTGGCGATATGATTACGTTTTCACTTTTAACATTTGATATTACGGAATTTATAGCATTGCTCCCATATTAATAGTATTTAAATGCAGCGATGCTGATTAAAGGCTACTTTTTATTATGTGTTAACATTAATTTAACATCTTAAATGTCTTAAATGAACTCCACGTGCGATTGTTCTTAAGCGGTGCGACTGACGCAACATAATCATATAAGATCCAGCCAGACATCACGTGAATCGAATAATCACCTGGCTAAGTTATAGTGTTGTTGTAGTGTTGCACGTATAACAAACACATTAAAGTCTACAACTACGCATTGCTGATATTGCATATAAGCTTAGCTTTTTCTATGTTAAGGTCATTGTCTAATCGGCGCTGAACAAATGTATAACCAGCGAGTTTCTGGTATTAACCTGTTAAGCAGCACTCTTATATTCTAATCATATTAGTATTAGTATTACGAGTATAATGTTTATAATTGCATAATATTAAATGAACTGTGTTAATTAGACACTTTTATTCTTTAGTGAATATTATTATAAAACCAATCGTTTTTTTTTTCGAATATTTAATGTCATGTCTCTTTTAAAATATGTGATTTATTGTTATACACATAAAAAATCAATACTTGTCTGGTGTAAACATTAAAAACCAGGTGTTAACCACAATTATATTGTTGCGAAACAAATTACAAATACTCTAAATGACTAATTGAATGTAAAACTGATCATTTTCGATTACCAGAAATAAAATCATATATGTATGTTATTACTGCCACGATTTGCATTATTTGTTTTTCAATTGCAACATTTGATTGTTTTATTAAAACGAATGAAAATTATTGAAAACAATCCAGTCTCAAAATTGGAATTGAATTTCGTAGCTGTCTATCGCTTGATAAATTTCGTATTTTGCATTGTGATTTGTTTATTTATTTTCGAATGATAACTAAAACTAAATAAATAGACGATTTTTTATCTTTCGATTGTTTTTAAACTCGATACTCAACACATGTGATGTGGCTTTAATTCGTCAATAATTTTATCACTCCACATTGCGTTCCGACCACCTTGCCAATAATTGTAATACTCAGTCAATGCAGGCAGTTATTTCTGCAATAATGCATTTATACATATTATCGGATTATTTTACAGCCTCAAATGGTTGACTGGCAGATGAACAAGGCTCGCTGAATGCAGAATGTCATGTCTGAATTGTCGAATAATCAAATTATTAAAATTCGTGATTGACTAACAAATATTGTCAATAATCATATAAATTACAATTAATACATAAAATATCGAATTTTATTCATTTCATTGGCATAATAAATATGTTAATTAGGTATAATAAAATTGATTCCATTGTATTATTATACTCTAGATAAAGTTTTTTCTTTAGTTGTGAAAACATTGTCTCGAAAACTACATGCAACATATCCGTACTTTGCACTCGCATCATCTCTCACTGGCGCGCCTCGCGCATTAAAATTAATTTAAACAATTCGAATCTAGCCTTACCCTTAATCTTAACGGAAGTGCGTGACGTCATTGTGCTCCAACTTCGCTGCAAGCGACGACGATAAATATTCCTTGCAACCAATGTTTGTACGTCTTTCACACCGATTCAACACATTATTAGACAAGAGGACGGATGATGGCACATCACACGATCACCATGCACACGAAACCGCAGATGCCTAATGGTCCGTTGATGAAGACGGCCGGCGTCGACGTGATGGCGAATTGGCCACTTATTCGATTAGAACTCGTCCGCCGTCTGTCTCTCATCAGCCGGCAACGCGCACTTCATGAGACATCCATTATATTGTTATTATAATTTATAGCGATTCACCTTATCCCGACGTATCCTGCGCCTGCCCGCCCAAAAGTTGCGCGCAAACCGAGCGCGCGTTTTCGACTCGAACTTTTCAATGCCGCACGTTAACTTTTGATGTCATCGCGCGCGCGAGTAATTTATACGTGTGCTCACACCTGAAACGAGGAAATTTACGCTTTTCTAATATTCAGTCAGATAAACACATCAAATAAAAGCGCGTGCTCTTGAATTTTCAAGATCGCCAAAAATTTCCGTTGAAAAATCACACAATTTTCACAATGATATTAAATTTTAAATATTTTACCGGTGACCAAAAATAAATTTAAATATTTATCGTTCGGTTTGTTTTATTGTTATTCTTATAACGTGTATTGTATATTTTTGTTATTACTATCTCGTTTGATGTTATTGTGCAGCAACGTTCAGCGTAAACAATATTGTTATATTACACGAGTTTTTTTATGAATACTGATGGGTACAATTTGTGCTAACAGCACAATTCGTCACAGTTTTCACGACCGTTGGTACAAGCCACATGCTAATACAATTTTCGAATGTTTATACGTCGCGAACCGAATTAAACTACAGCGCGATGTGCCCGTGAGAGCGGTTGCACGACGACTTGAAACGTGCGCGGAGTTCTTATCACGAGTGGCTGAGCAGACCACTTAAGTCGCGGGAATTTTTTCGAGTGTGTTTAAAGTTCAGCGTGCGCGATTCTAAGTGCGATTGCACTTGCCGTCCTAGACTTGTACACATGCACATGTGTATGTCGGGTTGCCTACAACAAGATTTATGTTAAGAGAAACTTTAAAACTCTTTAAAGTTTAAAAGAGTTTTTATCTGTAGTTTGAAATCATTTTAGAATATATGTCAGTATCATATTATGAGCGAGGTTGTAAATAAATTATGCAGACGAGTACTTTAAGATCAAATTCGGGAAGTTCGCGGAGTTTGCCGCGAAGAAGGAGCTAGTTTCATCCCAAAGTTAGCCAAACATATTTGTTCACGTTGTGTGGTGTAACTTTCCCATTTGCTAAACGCGACCGTCACTCACTGGCACATTAACTTAGCGAAATGGTGCACTCGCGCAGTAAAATGAGTATATTATGCGTGGGTGCATGCGTGATAAAACATAATATATGTCAAGCGAATGCACAGATTGCATTTTCATTCGAATATCTTAATTATTTTCTCATCACTAGTAAACAGAGTCATAATTGTAATAAATTTGCTGTTTCAAAGAAAAGGAAGTTGGACAATTTAATGAAAATTCAACAAAGTAACTAAAGATTTAGTTATTACTGTGAAAATGTGTGCAATGTGATGGATATCTTGTTTTATATACTCCCATATTGTAAAATACAGTTTTCTGTATCATATCTTTTCAACTCTAGGTATTTTATGTAATATAATAGATAAACGAGCGTGATAATATAGTTTAGATGATCTTTTCATATTCTTACCTTTCTGATGCCCTTTGTTTGTGAAAAAAACGGCTTTTACTTTTTATTTTACGTGAAATAAACCAAAAAATCATGAAAAAACTGAATGTCAACACTCTGGGCCGTTATTTTTGGTTTAATTGTTAAACATTTTATTTGAAAGTCTTTTAAATATGTCAAATACATGATATATTGTTAATTATTATATTAATATTATGAATATCCACATTCACATTTATTATAATCGATTGTAATAATAATAAGTAAAAAGAAAGAAACCCACATGAAATGAAAACATTTTGAATCGACCTAAAGTGAAAACGCATGGCAAACATGTTTATTCAACTATATGACAACGCTTGAATTAATATATTCATTATGTTTACAATTGATTTAGTTAATCTGGTTCTTTACTTAAGGTCAATCAAAGATGACTTTGTAAATCAATGTGTCAACTATACGTTATCGATTTACACATTACACAAATGCAAATGTTTGAATATTGTATCTGTAGTTAGACCGCTTCGAACTAATTTCGTTTTGCATCGCAAACGATTTATTGGTATAAATTGCAAATTGAATAACCACGAGAGTATATGAATCAATAAGTGTCGGTTACTGTGTTGCCATTGTTTCCATTATTTATCCCACTTGGCTGTTTCGGTATTTATTCTCGGAGAAAGCAACTCAAACTTACTTCGTAAATGTTTCCTCTTATTCTTATATTTAAAGTAGTATATTATGTGTTTATGCATGTAGCAATCAATTCTGTGTTTCAATTCATCATGATCAATATTTCTTTGATTCTTTGATTCCGTTGGTTGCTCTTGTCCGGTTGCGGATTTTCTCCAAATGGTAGTAGTTGTTTCTGTTTCATCGATGATTATTACGGCTATTTTACAATTCTACGAACATCTATACACTTTTCGAAATGCAAAACACCACTTGGTTGGCGCGGCCGCAGAGTCAATTAGCCGACGCCAATTAGTGGTCGAAATTCGCATTGCTTACTTAATGAGAGACAGGGGGATGCGAAGTCTGGAAGTGTAACAGATAGCTAAGTGGAGGTGTTGGGAACGCTGGAAATATGTCCGCGCGTGCATGTATCGGCGTGTTGTGCTGCTAATTCGGAATGCCTTCGGTAAGAAGGGTTGACAGTCAAGGAGGAGGAGGCAGCGGAAGGTGGCGGATGCAAAGATATTCCAATTTGAATGCGGGACCGACACGGGAAACGAGTTCTGACGTGACGCGAGTGTACCCGGAGATACGTCGCGATAACGCGAATGCAAATATTCAGGATGGCAGTGAACGCAGACCCATGACGCTCTGAAGGGAGGACGAAGGAAGGTAGCAGTGGCGGCTAGGGTATATGTGCACGCGAGAAGGTTTTGGTTTACATACACTTGCTAATACGTCATATGAAATGAGATGTTGGGATACGGATAACCAGGGGGATTAATAGAAATATGTTGTAATGATTGGATATTTCTAATCGGCGGCAAACCACTTGACCGCCTCGCTAACTGTAAATCATGCTGAAGTCACTCGGATCTAAATGTTGTTGCTAGTTATTTGATTGTTTGCAAACGTAGTTCTGCTAGTGCTTTCGATGTCGCTTGCTGCTCGATATTTTTAAATTGGGGATGGTTGGCTCGAGAAGGATGGAGCTTCTAACAGTTAGCAGACTGTTTACTGACGGTTGCGGCGTCCCGCTGTAACAACAAAAAACAAGCATACAATTAGTTATCATCTAACTTTTTCCAGTTAAACTTTCGCATTTAATGTGTCCAACAACGCGCATAGAAGTTTATTCTTAACCGAATGCGCAGCGGATCCTATTCTTGTAAATTGCGCTTGACATGTTGAATATATGCCGAGACATTTTTGACCCAGAAGCTTAACAAGCTGTGCGCTGAACGCCCGCTGCATGCATGCGAAATGTAAAATAGGAATATGCAACGGAGCGTGTTTAATATTTCACGTCCGGTTTTAAAATGAAGTCTCTTGTTGAGATGAAGTGGGTGTACTGATGTCGGAAGAATGCCGCACGGCCCGTGTTCGAGAAGTGCGAACCAACAAAATATGGCGTCGTTCAGGAAATTCAAAAAATGTGCAGACGTAGGTGTAATGCGAGATAAAATCCATCGTGTTTCCATATCGATACCCAACTTTATAGGAAAATAAAATATTTTCCAACATTTACCACTCTTCCTTGGTCGTCCGTTTCGATTTTCTGTTTCTTTTTGCTTTTATCTCAAATATTGGCAAACGATATCACATAGATACGCGTTCACCTTTCCGGGATATAGAAAAATATGTTTGCCTTAGATTAACTTTTGCTAGCAAGTGAAAAATGTATAAAATTGAATATTTTCCTCTTCAAAATAAATTTTATTAATATTGCCGGCATCTTCTCCCGAATGTGCAATTTTACGCAATGCAATTTTGTTGCGACATCCATGCGTATTTCCTTTGTTGGTGTCGATGAACGAAAATCGTCAACGTGCGTTTCATAAAAAACCTAAGAATGGCGATTTATCGCCGATAACGACTCCCCAGATAAGATTTTTACCTTTTTCTTCATTGTTTCGGTCACCATCCGGAACTTCGATGCAGTCTCTTATGTGCAGGATGGAAAGAAAACTCGTAGGTTGTCGTGTAAGTCGTAAAAAACGACCAGAAAGACTGACGGAGAGCATTTGATGCGGATATCCGGCAGGTTTGACCGGTCTGGTAAGACTGACGTGACAATTTTCCGGCTACGGACATAACCCACATCGCGTCCAAACCCGCACATCCCGTTTAAATGCCGACGAATTGGATGGATTGCGATGAAGTTGTTAACATGAACGAATAGTTCCTCGGCACGTCACTTAAATCAATTTATTTCCACGCTTTAAACTAAAAAGTTTCTCGAATTTCTTGAAGTAAAAACTTCAACAATATAATATAAAATATAAAAGCAAATGTTTTGAGTTTTAAATTTAAATATTGTGACAGCGTATAGAAAATTATTCATTCGGCAAAAGTAATAACTTTTAATTACTTCTTCACGGCGAGTTAAATTGAGCAGTAAAATTTTAGATGGAGGCGCGAGCGTTCGACGAATCGGAACGAAACGAAATAATTGTAATGAATCAGCACTTCGCTCGGTTTGGAAGCATTTGGTGAGAAAATCGCGGGCTCATTTCCGTCTAATACCGAGCGGCTAGGGGGAGACGCATTTGAATTTCTTATTCGATTTCTTAGCGCGTTTCCGCTTACGCGCCACGTTCGCCGACTACTCAATTATTCGCGTGGAATAAATTATTCGATCTCGTCTCATTATTCATTTCAAAGCGCACAAATTCGTAAATAATAATAAGACCTATTTGTATCAAACAAAATACAAACAAAATCATTTTTTACTTTAAATTAATTGAAAACACTTTTAATTTCCATAAAAAGTCCTTATTTTAGTAGAATTTTTAAAGACTACAAAAATAAAGAAAAGTTTTCAACTACTTTGTTATACCTGTTTGTGTCGCAATCTCAACACGAGTGGATGTTACATTTTACTTGGATTTTTTATTTATCCATGTGAAGAAAAACAGGGCAATGAAAACTTGAAAAGAAAACTAAAACTATATGTGCTATTCATATCTGAGCAGGGTTGTAACTTTACTGAACGGCATCATTGCGAGTTGCGGTGACGACGCAAGAGGCAAAAAGACGTAAAGAAAGTTTTCGTGGCTTGCTCGGAACGTTTCTTCGAATCCTATACGGAAGTCGCGCACTTAAAAATGCATTAAAGGCCGGGCGCAATAAATTTTCTATTAAGAGTGTGCGGATTGTGAAAAATAAACATTTTTTTATTCAATCATCAATCATTTGTTATTTAGAATCAAAATTTTATTGTCATGTTTTATCACACGGAGAAAATAAAAACCAATTGCAAATTAAGTTGGCCGAGTGAAAATTTTAGATTCAGAAAGAATAAAAGTACGTATTTGAATGTAGTAATGATTACGTCTTTAAATTGTCGCATCCAAATGCCAAAACCATTCGGGAAACGCCGTTAGTTATGAGTACGGTTTGAGTACGACATCGACGATCGTTTCGTGTCGTTGTATCAACAAATGGATTCGTAACAGTCGCAACGTATGCGTGAATATATCAGTACGTGTCCCAAAGGGTGCGGGTGTGTG